CACCTCTTTCCGAAACTGTCCTATTGCTGATACGCCCATGCTTGAAATTCTGCGACGAACATCTGAGACGGTCTTTGTGCCTTTGACCATTGGCGGAGGAATCAAAGACACCGTCGATACTGATGGCACCCGGGTCCCTGCTCTGGATGTGGCCACGATGTATTTCAAGTCCGGAGCCGATAAAGTCAGCGTTGGCTCCGATTCTGTCTTTGCCGCTGAGGACTACTACAACGCCGGTGAGAAGTTGAGTGGCCAAACAGCAATCGAGACGATATCCAAGGCCTATGGGAAACAGGCTGTTGTGGTGAGTGTCGACCCCAAGCGGGTATATGTGGATAAGCCAGAAGACACCCACCACCACACAATTAAGACCCAGTTCCCCAACTCAAATGGGCAAAGTTTCTGCTGGTATCAGTGCACCGTCAAAGGTGGCAGGGAAACTCGCGATATCGATGTGCAACAGCTTGTGCAGGCTGTCGAGGCCATGGGAGCTGGTGAAATTCTTCTGAATTGCATTGATAAAGATGGAAGCAACAGTGGATTTGATCTAGAATTGATCAGAGATGTCAAAGCTTCAATCAAGATTCCCGTCATTGCTTCAAGTGGGGCTGGAGTACCTGCGCACTTTGCAGAGGTCTTCAACAAAACCACCACTGATGCAGCATTGGGAGCAGGAATGGTAAGTTCATATTCTTCCAATTATCTTTTCTTGCAACAGACTTTCTAATCCTGTCCTAGTTCCACCGCGGTGAATATACTGTGACTCAAGTGAAAGACCACCTGCAAACCGAGGGATTCCTGGTCCGCCAATTTGAGGCTGAGATCTAAAGACTCGGCTGCGTCGAAGCTGTGATGTTTTCACATGGGCATCTTTTGCAACTTTTATGTTTTTATACGAGAATAGAGGATAGAGATCATGAGGATGGAGCTCATCAACTAAGATTACTATGTATACAGTTTAAATGAAGTTCACCCCCTCCAAAAAAAAGTTTAATATACAATATTTTTGATGATGAATTCCATGCCCTCGATACTTAAAGGGCCTCTGTGCCACAGAGAATAGTAGATAGTGCTAGAATTATTATTAAACAATTAAGATACAGACAGAATCTACATAACTAACTACTTTGTACAACTAACTATAACAAACTATGTTTCCGGCCCAGAAGGTCACGTGGTAACTCTAACCATGATCAAAAGCGGTCTAGAAGGCGGTGGAAGCAGCGTCCAAATCATCTGACTTTTCCTCACTTGCCACTTCACCTTCTCCTTCCCCCAGTCATTAGCCTGCGGTGCTACGAAAAAAAACCCCCAGATCCCACCCTCACCATTCCCGCACATCCATTATTTCTCCTAACTCCCCTCTTGCTAAATTTTGGCCTTCTGTTTTACCCTTCGATGACACTGTCTCGTGATCAACCACATTACCTGACATCTGCGATACGGTCTCCAGCGCTTGTTTGACAGTGGATTTACTCATTCCTAACAGGGTCTCTCTATAACTGGATTTGGTGTCTGCAAGGATCTCCAGATAGGTCCAATCACACAGGTCAGGGTGCTAGGGTGGCTCTGCGAATCACTTGAAGGACGGGGCAGACCATCAAATCTCTCTTCCAAGAATACACCTTTTTTTATTCAGCGCCAGTGTTCCTTCGATCATCGTATTCATCAATTCTTTGATCTCCATTTGTATGCAGTGACCTGAACACTCACCATTCAGCATTCAAAAAGATTCATTCACACATTCCATTGTCTCAGTGGTCTATTGATCTCTGCTTTTTTTTTTTTAAAAAAATATCTCGTGCTTTCTCTGTCATTTGAGCAGATAAAATCTGTTTCCCGACCTCTTTTTTTTTTGTTGTGACTGGTGATACACCAGTTTCACTTCATCTCACGAGTGTTTCTTTCCCTCTATTATCCCCTATTGCTCACTGTACACGGCGGCGGTGCCTCTAAATCTGGGTCTTAATACACCCGCGGCCATCTTTGTTGCATCACCTCCCCCCCCAAATTGAATACAATGTCATCGTCCGTTCATTTCAAATTCAAGTCCCAGAAAGAACCCTCAAGGGTCACCTTCGATGGCACTGGTATTTCGGTCTTTGAGCTCAAAAGAGAGATTATCAGCCAAAGTAGATTGGGCGATGGGAGTGATTTTGAGCTGTCGATCTACAACGAGGACACCAGAGAGGGTATGTTTGTTCCAATTTGCTCCATTTGCTCCTTATTAACAGGAATTCTTCTGACATCTAACAGAATACGACGATGACACCACCATAATCCCTCGGTCAACTTCCGTGATCGCCCGCCGATTGCCAGCAGCGCGCCCTGGGAAGGGCGGTGCTGCTCGTTATGTTTCAGGCAAGATGCCAGTCAATGCTCGCAGTGCCCCTCGCAACGAACCCTCGATGAGCCGAGTAGCACCCGGAACGGGACAATCCGTGAACAACAACGTCCTCGAACTCAATAATGCACAAACAGAAGAAGAGAAGATCAACGCTCTGTTCAACCTACAGGCTAGCCAATGGCAGGAGCAACAACAAGAAATGGCAAAGTAAGAGCACTCTTAACCGGACTCTCGATTATATTGGAGATATTGATTTCATTTAGTGCAACACCCGTACCGTTTGGTCGTGGCAGAGGGAAACCCGTCAATGTACCCGACCACCCTCCGCCTCCAGGGTATCTTTGCTATCGCTGCCGGGAAAAAGGTATGCACCTCTAGCTCAATAATCATACCCCACAGACCGCTAACCTTTGTACGTAGGCCACTGGATCCAAGCATGCCCTACGAATAACGACCCCAAGTTTGACGGCAAATATCGAGTCAAGCGATCAACTGGCATACCACGCTCACTTCAAACCAAAGTCGACAAACCAGAATCTCTGGCCCCCGATGGCTCTACTGAAGATTCAAGGAATACCGGGGTCATGGTGAATGCTGATGGTGATTTTGTCATTGCAAAGCCAGACAAAGCAGCCTGGGAACTGTACCAAGAGAAGGCGAAGGCATCGGCGGCAGCAGCAGCCGAAGCAGCAGCAGCCGAAGAGAGCAAAGCATTGCAAGCTCGAGGTCTGGAGTGTCCAATTGACAAGAGGATGTTTTTAGAGCCAACAAAGACACCATGTTGCCAGAGGACATATTGCAATGATTGTATTTCAAATGCCTTGATTGAAAGTGACTTTGTTTGCCCGGGATGTGCTACTGAGGGTGTCTTACTTGATAACCTCACTCCTGATGATGAATCGGCATCAAAAATTAAGGAATATGAAGCCGACAAGGCTGAAGCCAGGAAAGAGAAGGAAAAGATCCCTGCAGGCCCGGATGGTACTCCTGTCCCCGAGATCTCCGAAACTGAAGCCAAGGAATCTTCCGCCAACAAAGAGCAGAGCCCGCCCAATCAAATTCAAGAGACAGCGCCCACACAATCCAAGAAAAGACCTGCCGAGGACGAGCCTACCAGCCGGAGTGAAACCGTAAACCCCGAGCTGGGTAATGTGCCAAAGAAACAGAAGGCAGATGACGGTCACTCCGATGTTCCGACCCAGGCTAATAGCGTTCAAGACGGTGCACCTGGTGTTGCCCCATCCAATTTTAATAATCAGGAGATGCCCTTCAACGGCTTTGGACCAATGCAAGGCATGCCTATGATGCCTTTCTCAGCTCCTGGATTCGGTAATGAAGCCATGGGGTTTATGAATCCCATGGCGATGGCGTCTGCCAATGGCTTTCCCAGTGGCATGGGCCCGGGGTGGAATCCCATGAACATGCCTTTCAATCCCCTTCAAGCTGGAATGTTCGATCAAAGCAATGGTGGTATGCCCAACGGATTTCCCAATATGTTCAATGGTGACCCGTCAATGATGTTCCCCATGCCCCAGAATGGCTTCCAGGGACCAAACTCTGGAATGAACAACTTCTCAAATCAGCAACGAACGGCTTTCAGCACACCATACTCCCGGGAAGAAGATTCACCATATTTCCGTCAACCTGTGAATCCGCAACGTCATCAGGCTAGAAACCGACGAGTTCGGCCTAGCGATTACAGGGAGCTCTGAATAGCTAAATGCTGACCATGGCTTATATGGATTTGCATTATGGTTTTCCTAGTACACTGTGAATATGCATATTATCTAGAGCGGCTTTCCCCCTTTTTCTTTTTTATGTGTTTTTCTCGTTCTCATGTCATCCTGGGAGGTTTCTTTTCTTTTCTTTTTTCTTTTAACCTTCTTCAGAATGTGTACTACTACTACCATAGCTGCAATAAGAATAATCCAACCTTGAATTATTTCTCTCTTACGCACTCCCCCTAGGGCCTGACATGGCTTATGCATTAATATCTAGCATTAGCTGTTCAATCAATATAAACAAGAATGGTCGGCCTGTTATGCGACCTTCTCATGTCTTTTTAGTGGTCTTTCTATATATCTTTTAAGGTGTATTATGAAGGTGGTAAAAAACGACACTGTTCCTTACTGTTTTCTCCGTTAGGCATTAATACTCCGATCACTTTAGAACTTGGTATTGATCACACACTTTTGATAGATTTGAATGGCTAGAAATCATGTATACGAGACGAAACAATCAGAATAATAAGAGTTAATGGGAGAAAAATTGAGGAAATAGAATCAAAATAATAGTTCCATATGTTAAAAGAATAGAGACAGAGAGGGAGAGAGAAGGTCAGAGAGAGGGTCAGGTGACTGGGGAAAATCGCCCAATTCACACCGTCTCGACTTCCACCGTCCACATCCGTCCACACCATCCAACTTCTCTCACTTTCCTCGGTTCAACATCAAGACCATTCGAATTCTTTATCACTCCAAAAAAAAACCAACCGTCTTCATCGTGTCTTCTCCACTTACTTCAAATTTCAAATTTCGATCTAGTTCGATATCTTGACCTACAACCATCCATCAAATCCCTCCCAGAACAATTACCTGAAAGATCGACTATCATGGCGAAATATATGAATAACCACAGTAGTAATTCCAATCAAATGCAGCGGTTCCTCGACCAAGACTCCCAGAGCACTGTTCTCGCTACTTGCTACAGTGCTGAGTCGTCGACCTCCGAGGTCCACGGCTTCCACTACTGCACTACCCTGGGTGCCGGTAAGTACCTCGTAACGCCAAATCGCATCAATGTTGCTCGGTATCTAATTTTCAAATTTAGGGGTACAGTGGTATCCCTGAGGTCCCTTCGGGGACTAAATCGTCTCTTCTAAGTCCTCCCCACGACATCCTCGATTCCCGCGCGGAACGAATCTGGCCTGGAAATAAGCCAGAGTACAAGGGGGGAGGCAGCGCATAACATCCCGGAAGAGTGTGAGAGACTCTTCTGTGACAGACTGTCTGCGACATTCCTGGGTGAGAGGAATTCCGTGGGACAGGAGTCACTGGGGATGGATGCGTTCGAAAATATCCAGTCAAATCAAGTCGGGAACCCTCGTCATCGAATCCAGCTATGGATAGAAGTGTGGGATTACTCTGGTGATGCTATCTACCGCGGATTTGTGGCTGAACACAATAAGGAGCGGACATTGTTCGTCTTCTTCGAGGACCGTGCACTTGAACACGGCCTCAAATCAGGGTATGCACACCCCTTGTTTTTAGTGGCTGGCCTCCATGTGTTTTTGATTCATCCGCTGACCTTCTTCCTCAGCTTGATTGCTCTGTTTGAACTTGCCGATATTGCTACCTTTGGGTGCTCGCAAATAGTTGCCTGTGTCAGTCGCTCCCAGCGCACTGATGAGATGGAGCTCGTGCGAAGTCTAGGATGGTGTGGATTCAACCTCACCACCTTGGCACCCTGGGTCTCACGTGGTGACCAAGGGTCATGTCTTAGTAATAGATGGCTTTTCTTGGTTGCTGAAGTCTAGCGATAGCATCCATGATTCGCTTACATCGTTTTGGACTGGAGTTTATGGACCTCCCCCCTACCCTTTTTTTTTTCTTTTAGTATCTTGATGCTTGAGCTTGTTGCGCAAGGCAAATATCTTATTCCGAGTATCGAGTATCGCTTCATTTTTTTCCAGTTAATTTTCATGTGTATTGTGCTTTATACTATTCTATATACTATATGATATAGTATATATAATAATGTATGTCTACTGTTCTAATGAGAATGTCACTTTCCCCCGCTTTTGCGGGAAAAAAAGCCGCACGGATAAGATAAGAGATAAGTCATAGATGACCTCACCTAAATTCATCTCTTGACTTGGGCATCACTCCCAACCTTGGGAAACCTTTTAAGGTTCTATCAGAGTGAAGACTTCTGGTTAAACATCTCCTAAAATGTCGAAGGAACGCGTCAAATCTCTTCAGTTCCCCAAATTCCTCCTTCCTGCTGTGTTTTCTACAAAACGCAGTGCGGGGCTTTCTCCAACGGATCATAGACCCCAAAACACCAAGACCGAGAAGTATCTCGACGGTCATGTTTCCTATCTGCGCTGTGCAGGCTGTGCCTCACATCTGTGCTGGACCTCCCAAATTATCAGCAAAGGGTTCACAGGTCGCCATGGCCGTGCCTATCTTGTGTCGGCGGAGCCAGTAGCCACTGCTGTGTCGGTCAGCGCCTCGTCTTCACCAACAGCCTCACTCCCCAATACGATATTGCAGCGTCCAGTTCCTCGTCAGCTTGTTACGGGAGCACATACAGTCAGCGATGTTAGCTGCACATTCTGTGACAGTGTCCTGGGCTGGAAGTATGTTGCAGCGGAAGAAGAATCACAGCGGTACAAGGTCGGCAAGTTCATTCTGGAAACTAAGAAAATCGCCGCCTCTTCATGCTGGGAATCCCCACCCGGTGTGAATCAGACTATGCAAGCCGATCACCGACATGAAATTGAGTCTAGCCCAGCAGATACGGAGTTTGACAGCCAGGACGAAGATGAGTGCGAGGACCTGTTCGCCGGAATATGGAGCCCTGGACTTGCTGCACGTCGGAGAAACCGTGAGATCAAACGTCGTCCTGCGATGTGGGGAATCTCATAAGCTATAGAAAATCCGGGGGATGGATCCTGTGGGCCATTGCATAATGTGACATGATACCCTTTTGAGCAACCTTGATGTCTTTGTCTTTTCCTCCTACCTTTTCTTTTCTCCCATTAGATAAGAATCCATTATAATACCAGCGAACAAGAGTTCGTGATCTATGATCTATTTTCTTTTTGGAAAGTCCGGCATTATCGCACGGGATCCGATTCATTGAATTCATTAACACCCTGGTAATTTAGATGGGTTCTAGTATGTATAAAAGAGAAAGAAAGAACATTCCGGTTCGGTCAGAGGATGCAAGACCACCTTGTTCACGAAGAAGCATCATCCACGCGAGATCGCTTAGAGCCATTCTCCGCAGATTCCTCAGCAGGCCTTTTTGAGGCAGTTTCAGGTTGTTGGGATGCCTGCTTTGCAGGCTTACGTTTGACAAAGGCAGACAGATCTGTTGCTCCCTTGCTAGCTGCGTCAAGCTGAGCTTTCTGGTCCGTCGCGGACTGACCGATAATCTGACCCAGAACACCCTTTAGCATAGCATCATTGGCTTGGTCATTCTGTTCAATTGAGACAGGTGGTCGGCGCAGATCAACAAGCTGGTTTATTTCATTATTAACGAGTTCGAACAAAATATAGAAAAGACAGACGAGAGAGGAATCACTTACCCTTTGTTCCATCTCGGTGATGATCTCCTTGACATTGGCGATCTTTCGCTTGGTCGCAGTTGCCTTGTCCTCATCCCCGTCTTTCTCGGCCTCAAGTTTCTTCTCCTCCTGGGCCATTCGGACCTTGCAGCTCGCAATGGCATGTTCCATTTGGGTGGCGGCTTCTTTCCTCATCTCTTCATCAACTTTGGGTTTATCGTTGCCATCCTCCTCGCCGCCTTGTTGGACTGATGCGAATTCGAGGGCGAGGGAGAGCTTGTAATGGCATTCAGCAACAGAGGGATCTTCCAGAGGATATAGCGAGTTTCTCAATTCGAGAACAGTTCTCAAATCAGTAACCGCTTCGCTGAATCTTTCTGCTTCCAGTGAAATTTCAGCTTGAAGGTCGTGCGTGTCTGCGATTCTTTCTTTGATGTGCTTGATGTCCGAGGACACCACAGTCGATTTTCCTTTGCCCCCGTCATTTTCCTCGGCAGCACTCAACTTCTTAAGGTACAGAACACGGGCAAGATCCAAGACCTCAAAGGCATTGGCGAAATCGTCTTCTTCTTCTTCATCCTCGGCTTGCTCAGCAGTTTCCTCATCCTCGTTGTCGGAGTCGACAAAGTTCTCGTCTCCCGTAAATTGGAAGAATGGCTTGGATTCTGTGGGCTCTGGTTCTCTCTCTGCGTGCTTGGCGGAAGACGACTTTTTCGTCATAGAATTGGCGATCGCGTCTTGAACAAGGGAATCACTGGTGGATTTCGATCCGGCGGAAGATGTATTTGTTGAAGATGCGGTGCCGGATTGTGGTTGCTGCTCTCCAGCTACCTTGGACCCAAGCACATCACTTTTACTCACAGCCACATTGTACAACGACTTTCCGTAGGCATAGAGTAAATCGGCATTCTCGGGGGACAATTCGCCGTTGAGTTCGGCCTGAAGTTCAGTAGCTTGGGAGTACAACTCGGAGGCAGAGTCATGATCTTTGGTCGCATCCTTTGCAGCAGCCCGTGCGATCAAGTCATCGAGTTGGGTTCGTTTCTCTTGCTCCGAGACGGGAGATTGAACATCTTGTAGATTAGCCATGGTGAATATGATTTTGGTGAAGAGTATTTGAAAGAAGAAACAGAGTGAGAAAGGAAAAGGATAGTCTTAATAATTAAAAAAAAGACCAAAGTAGGAGAGTCGAGTGAAGTGGAAAAAAAAGAGAGAGCGAGAGAGAAAGAGATTGGAAGAAGCTTTAGCTCCGGCGCGCGTGTCACGCGTCTTTGATTTAATTGAATTCTGGATCTCTCTCTCTCTCTCTCTCTCTCTCTCTCTCTCTGTCTCCTCCCTCCTTCCCCCCTCTTATTATGCATTTTATCTGAATCTTTACCAGAGCCTTTTCTATTCTGAATTGAATCTTGCTTGAGCTTCGGAACCGGTACCAAATTTATCTCGATCGCGTTTCTTGAAACATTGAGACAATATGGACGCCTCGACACCGCGACATCCTGATCGCTTCAGAATGGCGACAGGGGACCCTATTCCTTCGTCATCGCCTGCGTTTGGAACACCAGCACGTCCATTTCGAATACCCAAGGGAAACGCGCCTCCCTCCAAAACCTCGATTTTACCAATCTTACTTCCCCCATCAACTCTACGCCCAGTAGCCTTTCGAACATTCACTCGCAAACATAACCTCACAATATCATCATCTGCGCTTCAAACGCTAGCAGTGTTTGTGGGCAAGAACTGTGGCTCGGGATGGCGCGAGGAAGGCCTAGCAGAACGAGTTCTGGATGAGGTTGCCAAGATATGGAAAAGAGCCGGCGGAGGCGTAATTGTTGAGGAAGGGAAAGGAGCATCCCTAAAGACAATATTGCAAACCCTCGAGGGTAGTATGAGTGGTGGAAGGGTTGTTGTTGGGAAAACGACCTCCCAAGATGGTTCCTTGAAGGCATCCAGCCTGGGTGTAGATGATGGACGGGTTGAAATAGCGGGTGATACCTCTAAACAAGGGGCTACCGAGGAAGACGACACACAGCTGTCACTTCACCCAAGGCATTGGCTCAAGGTGATCGACGCTTTTGATCTTCCGCGCTTGACGTATAACGTCGACAAGAAATACTTCGAAGCATTGAAGTCAAAGCCATCCTTGTTTCCATCGCCATCTTACAAAACTGCACTATTCCGAGATCGATACAATCTTGTGTATCAGCGATTGCTCCGCAATGAATCTTTTCAAAGCTCATTGGGTGTCGCGGGTGTTCCTTCACTGCAACGTTCTTCGTCCAATATTGCCCACCGGCAATCCTATAAACTGACGCCAATCGCAAATTTGCTCGGCAGAAGTGGAACCTCGCATCTACTATTAGGATTGCTTGCAATTTCCCCTACTGGAGACTTGTCCCTGGTGGACTTGACTGGAAGTGTAGCGTTGGACTTGAGCCATGCCCGAATGATACCCGAAGATGGCGCGTGGTTTGCACCAGGCATGATTGTGCTTGTCGATGGTATATACGAAGAGGAAGAGATGGTAAAAGGTGCTGCGTTGGGAGGAAATACAGGAATCGGAGGTGCAATCGGAGGCCAGTTTGTCGGTATATCAATTTGCGGACCTCCCTGTGAGCGACGTGATATCTCGCTAGGAACAAGCAACAGCCACGGCAGCGGACAGCTGAGTTCTAGTGGTGGATTTGGATGGGTTGACTTTCTCGGATTGGGAAGTGAACGTGCCCAGGGTGCACGGATGAGAAGAATCCAGGAAAAATGCCTACGAGGGGACCAGGAAGCACCAGAAACAACCAGGCTCAAAGTCGCTATCATGAGCGAAGTCAATCTAGACAACATGAAGACATTGGACGCCCTGAAGAAGGTATTCAGCACCTACAATGATCTGTCTCTTGCTGAACGCCCACAAGCCTTTGTCTTGATCGGTAACTTTTCGCAGAAAGCTATTATCAGCGGAGGTGGCCGAGCCGGGAGTATCGAATACAAGGAATACTTTGACTCTTTGGCGCTGGTCTTGTCCGATTTCCCCGCGTTGCTACAACACTCGACCTTTGTATTCGTGCCCGGTGATAATGATCCTTGGGCATCGGCATTCTCTGCTGGTGCAGCCTCAACAGTACCAAGACAACCCATCCCGGAACTGTTCACCTCTCGAGTCAGACGCGCATTTGCTACGGCGAACTCAGAGCTGAATAGGTCACAAGCCCCCGAACCCGCAGGCGATGCAATTTGGACTTCAAATCCGGCACGTCTTTCGTGGTTCGGGCCAGTGCATGACATCGCCATCTTCCGAGATGATATATCGGGAAGGCTGAGACGAAGCGCTGTCAACACCACCCTTGACAATGAGTCAGATGTTACAATGCATGAACCTTCGAGCACTACTGCCGGTGATGTGGTCTTTGCCGAGGGCGAGAGCCAAATCGAAGATATGGGCCAGCAACAGGGAACCAAGGCTGCAACCGCCTCGTCTGGAGCGTCAATGGCCCGCAGACTCGTCAAGACTATCCTGGACCAGGGAACAATTTCCCCATTTCCGCTACCATTGCGGCCCGTCCTATGGGACCATGCCTCAGCCCTGCAGTTGTACCCGCTGCCAACCGCATTGGTACTTGCAGACCCCGAGGCTGCACCGTTTTGCATGACTTACGAGGGCTGTCATGTTATGAACCCCGGGCGCTTGCTACCGGAAGGTGGTGCTCCCATGGCCAGATGGGTTGAGTACGATGTGCTACGCAACCGGGGGAAGATCAGAGAAGAGCGCTGTTAACCTAGTAGGAACGATTTAGTTAATTGAATGTCACGCATCATGAACAGAAATACATTTAGATGCTATGTCATATTGAGACCTAGGAATACATCGTGAAGAGAACATTGTGGTTGCTCTTGCATTAAAACGGAAAAGGCTCAAATCAAAGATATTGAGCTACGCCGAAGCCCTGGAGAAGACGGGGATGGGAATCACGGGCCATGGCAATTCTTAGTCAATGGTGATGACATCGGTATTTCCCAGTGGTTGCAGAGCGGCAGATGTTGAACCTTGGATGTGCAATTGTTTGGGAATTTGCTCAGGTTTGACTTCCACTTCTCTGTCGAGTTGAAGATGCGGAGCATTAAGGCACTCATGAAGCTCGAGTATGAGGTTCCCAACCTTGTTGATACTCGCTACCGCTCCATCTCCAAGGCCATTCCAGCCCTCGCCTTTGGACTGGTAGAGTTTCTCTTGTATAAAAGCAGAAACTTGGACCCGACCAGACTGGTCCATTCCGTTGGCATCCCTTAACATCCAGACCAAGTGATCCTGGTGCATCACTGCACTTAAGTGGAAACGAGACCTCAGCCGAGGATAATGAATCAGGTATACAGTCGGTTTACGCGCGATGACGTGCACGATTGACAGATCCGTCTGATTCGATTGAGGAGTGATCTGATCCAATGACCGCAGCAGAGGAAGGGTGGTAGCCAAGAGCTGGAGGGTTGATTCAACACCGGCTTCAGTGAACCGCTGGTTCAAAGCCACAGTGAGGGGCTCTTGAATCCGACGATGAGGGCTGGAGCTTTCGAATTTGATGCCCAGCTTCAGTTGGAAAAGTGGGGTATTCTTCGAAATAGCATCTGCAACGTCAACGTAGTCAGACAGAGAAGGCCCCTTAGCGCTCATATCAAAGAAGGCAGAGAATTTGTTCTCGGGCCCGTAGGCAAAATCAATTCGCGACAAGGACAAAGATCGGGGCTCCATTCCTTTCCGGATGAGGGATTGAAGAATAGAGAGAACACACTCAAGTCGCTGCAAGAGTTCAAACAGACAAGCGACGACAGAATGCCCAGCTGGCACAAGCAAACGAAGCGCGAAGCCAGAGCCCGTGTCTTCAATAACCAAAGAAGGATCCGTATTTGAGACAAGTGGGACTAAGGATTTGATGCGGGTTTTCAAACTGCCGTGAGCCATCATTATGACAGAACGGGTCTGGCTGTCGATTCCATGGAAAACCAGTCGAATCATTTCTTTGAACTGCGACTGTTTCTTTGCCCCGAAGGGCAAGGTGACCCGGAAAGCAGGTGGAAGTGTGGACGAACTATAGTTGAATAAGAGATCCGGGACTGTGAGATCCGCTTCTAGCTGCAATTCTTTGAATGTTGGCCAGAAATTCATGGCTGGCAAGTCTGCCAGATAACGCGCATTGGCATGGATCGCCAGGATCCCAGTAAGCCCATGGACCAGCTCGGCGCACGTTGTGTAGTTGAGTCGTCTCTGCAGAGGAACAAGAGTTTCACTGACCACATGGGCCTGCGGAGCACCCGCGCTATGATCGCCAATACTATAAAATGGTCCCATTTTCGTTGCCTCGGTTGGCCGAAGTTGAACAAGCCACCAGCGGTCACCATCCATGCTACTGGTCGCTGCAGCGACCCAGTGCCGGTTCCAAAGCCGATGAGTGAAGAAAGCGGTCCGCATTACACCAGGAGGGAACAACTTGCGGGGATCAAGCCCAAGTACTCTCTGGTTCACAGGTTCGAGACCGAGTGCCTTTGTGCCGGAGTCAATCTCATCCACCGCAGTGATACATCGCAGGCGGGCGACACGAGATAATATCTCTTCAATCGATGATTTATAGAGCCCTCGATCACCATCGAGACGTTCCGACACATGTGGTGTCCCACACATGGTAATGGACCCTGACATAGGTTCGATAGAAACCCGAAGAGAACGTGAGGCTGTGAGTTGCACATCAAGGCGACAATCTCCAGGTTCTGTTGGTGATAGTTGAGCCTGTAGTGATAGTGTGTGATTCGAGAACAGAACATGCTTTTTGAGGGTGGTAAATGCGGTAGAGAGAAGATGTGACGTGTGTAAAGCAATGACGCTTCTCAAAATAAGCTCCATAGATAGATCACCTGGGTTAAACCGAATAGCATCGCTGCTGACCTGCTGGCCGTCACGCATCCATCGGAAGCCGAGATGGGATATCCCAGGCTTCGGGTCGCTAGAACTGCCACCGCGGTGACCACTCTTGACTCCGATTTCGAGCCAGCTCTTCGGCCCCGATCTCTGAGGCCAGTACTGAACAACAAGTGTTCGGTGTAGTAGCTCGATACGCAACGCATCTGCCCAGAGGCCCCGAGAAAGGTCCACGGCTTGCTTGAAGAGAATGTTGATTTTGTTCGTAAGAACGAGACCATGGAGAAATTGGAAACATCCCGTCAAACCATCATCACGGAGTAGATCGTTAATCTTACCATCAAGTTCATTGAATATTCGACCTTTGGGGATAGGCGATGATGGCGAGAAAAGGAAGCGAATGTCTACAAAGAAAAACTGTGAAGACTTTGACTCTTCCGCGACTGAGAGATCGAGTTCAAATTCACCAGAGATTGTGAATGTCACCCGGCCATCATGGACCCGGTAATTGCGCAATGGCGGCGGCACTGAATCGTGTAATGCCAATCGCACGCTGATGATTCGGTTGAGTTTAAGTAGCTTTTTGAGTGTTGCTCGTGCCGTCAGTGGCATAGGGGGTTTATAACCGAGCTATGTCAGATGTTAGATTGTTACAGGTTGCGAATCCATTGGGGAGACTCACATCTGGCAAAGAGGCGACCCGTCCCTTTGATAATACCTCAACCGCCGTTTTTAAATCCGGGTTGGCGACTTGTGCTCGAACAAGATCTCGTTTCACTTCGCCAACATACTGGAGAGCTGCGTCGTATGATTGGTGTCGTGTGCGAATGAACCCTTGGATATCAATGAGTCTACTGACATCTGCAGCTTGGCGACTCCATTGAGAGAGGACTAGGAGTTTGATGAACTCGGCTCTCTTCGCATGAGCGAAATCCAACAGTCGCAACTTCTTATGCACATTCTCCGATGACTGGTTGCCGGCTGGTTTTCCATTGCTTGATATCGAACCACCCGAGGCTGGCACTTGTATCGCAGCCAATTCTGTGATCAACTCCGAGAGCTCATTCCAACATTCCTGTACTGAGCGATTGACCAATGTCCCGAACGGAAAGAACCCTTGTGTGATATGTGGTAGTTTGAATGGCGATGTCGGGACAATTTCCACTGCCTTATCTGCGAGCGTTCTTGGATGTTGATCCGAAGGAGCAATTCCACTCGATGCGCCATTGACGTAAGCTGACCCATTCATGCCAGAGAGCTGACCAGACTTTTCGGCATTATCAAAGGCATTAGGTACACCATTTCTGGCCTCATTGAGGCCCGGTCGGCGGACAGATCCCTCAATGTTGACATTGTCCATGACGACACCGGGCATTTCTGGAAGCACAGCCTAGCTGCTTTGGGAGTGTCTGTCGAAGCTTTCCCCTCCTTGGCCCTCTGCACGGCGCAGAACAAGCGACGCAACACAGGCACTGCTCCGGGCTCGATCCAGTCGACGCTGGGTAGGAAGGGAAGCCGAAATCAAAGATAAGGCCACAGGTAGGTCCTCAATCTAATGCCATGCGTTTCACGGGCCGTGCAAACAGAACGCCACGCTCATAATCGGAGGAGCTTGGCGTACGGCTTTGGCTTCAAATGGGCCTCAAACGTCGATCGAGGCTCGGGCGAGGATGGCCACGGGTCGGGATCGGAATCAGTGGGAAATGCTCCGGATTGCACAGGTTTCAGCTTCGACCTGTCTAGCGACTAGCTATGATGAGAGGCGCGATCGGGGATCTAAATTATTTCAAGGATAATAGCAGGGTTGTCGCAATGCGAGGAATGCAGCAAAACAATCTGGTGGGCTGGCAGGAAACGAAAGGTAGAGAGTAACGGTCAAAGTAACTGAGGCAAATTTAAAGTTTCATAGATCATCTGGAGAAGAAGCACCTAGAGAGAAAATGAGTACCCAGAAGAGGACTGGGTCAACAATAATATCTCAAGCCCAAGATGATTTGATGAAAGCGCGATGCGCTGCATGCATTTACCCTACCGCCTTCTATTCGATGCCTGAATGCCTGAATGCCTGAATGTCTTGGTGCCTTGTATTGTGATGTATCACTTTGGTCAGTATGGTAATAAACCCATGTATTATTGGAAGTACTGCTACAACCACGACAGTACAATTTAATATTGGCCATGAAGTTCTCAGTGACTTCCCAATACCATAATACCTTGTAAGAGCTCCCCCCCAAGTCAGCATTGACCCTTCATATGACCTCACATCCCTTTGATCCCATCACCCAACACTCCTACTACCTGGGCATTGTTAACCCAAATGACTTTTAACTGAGCTTTATCACCTTACAATACTGTATGCCTTCTTGTTTCGGTTTTTTTTTCTGGCCATGAATCTGGCTTTCCCTCGCCAGCCATGAGTGTGAGTATACAGGAGAATGTTGAGTCTCTTCCTCAATATCCTGGCGATGACACCCGGCCGACCAGCAACAGGGAGCTTGCTGGCTGGTATTGCTATGGCTGGGCGGCCGAGGTCTTTGTAGTTTGTGCTATGGGTACGTGTGCTTCTACTTCCATACATCTTCATCCTAGACTGTATCTGATCTGAGAAAGGTTCATTTCTTCCGATAACGCTGGAGCAGATGGCTCGAGATCGGGGCGTTCTGCTGTCTGACAAAACCACACCGTGCAGCGAAACCTGGAGCCCCTCGCTGCCACCACCCGGCTCGGATGCACCAGTATATTTCCCCCAGGTGTCAGATGGCGGTCAATGCATCATCTACTTCCTCGGCGCTGAAATCAACACGGCAAGCTTTGCCCTATATACCTTTTCATTGAGCGTGTTGGTTCAGGCAGTCCTGATAATTTCAATGTCAGGGGCCGCTGACCATGGAACCTATCGCAAAAAACTCTTGATTGTCTTTGCTTTCATTGGCTCGGTTGCGACCATGTTGTTTTTGGTTGTGGTCCCCAAAGTTTACCTCCTAGGTGGACTGCTTGCAATCATCTCAAATACTTGCTTTGGTGCGTCTTTTGTCCTTCTAAATTCGTTTCTACCTGTTCTGGTCCGCCACCACCCATCGCTCAAGGAAAGTGAAGAGTCGACGCTGTCAGGTGATAATGTGACGAGCCCTAGGGGCGACCCTTTGTTATCCTCGACCGGGGATATTAGCCGAACAGACGTGGATGACTCCACGCCGCTACTCGGGCCTAACAGGGAAGCCACAAAAACGACCGCCGCCACTATCACTTCCCTGGAGCTTAAACTCTCAACTAGAATTTCATCCAATGGCATCGGTATAGGCTATATCGGGGCAGTGATTCTACAGGTGTTTTCTATTTTAGTTGTTGTGGTCGTACGTCCACCAACATTCTCACTACGCCTTGTACTTTTCTTGATTGGGCTATGGTGGTTTGTTTTTACCATCCCGGCAGCTTTGTGGCTGCGCACTCGGCCAGGTCCGCCTTTGTCCGGCAGCGATGGCAAACCACTCCATTCGTGGATCGGATACATGGCATATGCCTGGAAATCTCTTGGAAAAACTGTGGCGCGGGCGCGACAACTGAAAGATATCGTGATCTTCCTTGCTGCCTGGTTCCTTCTCAGTGATGGAATTGCCACTGTCAGTGGCACTGCTGTACTGTTTGCAAAAACCCAACTGAACATGAAACCTGCTGCCCTGGGACTGATCAATGTGATCGTCATGCTTGCAGGAGTGCTCGGTGCATTCTCTTGGAGCTACATATCGAATCTCTTGAATCTACGAGCCTCACAGACAATCATTGCGTGCATTATCCTGTTTGAGCTCATTCCGCTGTATGGTCTTCTTGGATTCATTCCTGCTGTGCAACGCGTGGGGCTTGGTCTACATCAGCCTTGGGAAATGTATCCTTTGGGGGCCGTTTATGGCCTTGTCATGGGTGGACTATCCTCATACTGTCGAAGTTTCTTCGGGCAACTCATTCCCCCAGGTTACGAAGCAGCTTTCTACGCGCTTTATGCAATTACCGACAAAGGGTCTAGCATTTTCGGGCCAGCCATTGTTGGCGCCATTACGGATCGCTACGGTGAGATTCGACCGGCATTTGTGTTCTTGGCGGTTTTAATTATTGTGCCACTCCCACTTATGCTTTTGGTGGATGTTGACCGTGGGAAACGAGATGCCTTAGCGTTGGGGGCCGAATTGGATAGCATGCCACAAGGGTCTGAGTATGGGACCATATCTAACGGTCAACCCACAGGGGATTCGATTGAGGAGTGAAGATTAAAGTACGGAGTATGTTTGACTGTGATGTTGACAAGTACGAGAATTACTTTGTTTTTTTATTTTTATTTTCGGGATCTACCTATTGATAAACTAGCCTCGGAGTAAATCTATGAAGGGAAATCAATGTTTTAATAGGGGATACATATATCTAGCCCATATGTACCTATGTACTCTGTAGATTACATGGTTAAATTAATATGTAAATATGTAAATACAGGCCACTTGTCAACAACGCAGATATGCGTCAAATATCAAGGGCATGTCTCCGTTACCATTATAGACTATTACTATATATGCATACCTAGGGAACTAGTTACATGTAGTTATTATAATAAATTACTAAGTGCCATGTACGGAGTACTTCCAATTTCCCTATAAATTGGCCTGGTTGTCGAGGTACCAGGTACCTGAAGGGAAAAGGTCCGCCCTTGCAGCCCTGCATAGCCCAGTCACAAAGCTCCACCTTTAGTGAACAAACTGTCCTCAAGTGCCCACCCCCCAATAAAACCTTCCCTCTCTGGACCTTTTAAGCTTGTCTCTACTTTCTTTTATTCAACCTTGAGCATTTTGGGCTTTTGTTTGATTTAAGAGTCTTCATTATGCGGTCTTTCGCCCCTCTAGTCCTAAGCCTCCTTGGAGCTACTGCAGCGGTTCATGCTGCTGAGCCCGAAGTTGCCGACGCTGACACCAATGTCGTCACCTTGACAACCGATACCTTTGATGAATTCGTCAAGGAGCACCCTTTGGTGCTTGCTGAGTTCTATGCACCTTGGTGCGGTCACTGCAAGGCCCTTGCCCCCAAGTATGAAGAGGCTGCCACAGAGCTGAAGGCCAAGGATATCCCTGTGGTCAAGGTGGATTGCACCGAGGAGGAGGAGCTGTGCCGAACCTACGAAGTTGATGGCTACCCTACTCTGAAGGTCTTCCGTGGCCCCGACTCACACAAGCCCTACGCTGGTGCCCGCAAGTCCGACGCGTAAGTCATTCCGAATTGATGGTTATTGCCCTTTTGAAACTAACGCGTTGCTCCAATAGAATCGTTTCATACATGACCAAGCAGTCCATGCCCGCCGTCTCGAACGTGAATGAGGAGAACCTGGAGGAATTCAAGGCCTTGGACAAGATTGTGATTATCGGATACGTGGCTTCTGATGACAAGGCCGCCAACGAGAGCTTCACTTCGTTCGCTGAATCCCAGCGTGACAACTTCCTCTTCGCTGCCTCCAACGACGCTGCTCTCGCCAAGGCCGAGGGCGCCAAGCAGCCCTCGATTGTTCTCTACAAGGACTTCGATGAGAAGAAGGCTGTGTACGACGGAAAGCTGGAGGATGAGGCCATCCTCGAATGGGTGAAGACCGCTAGCACTCCTCTTGTTGGCGAGCTTGGTCCCGAGACTTACTCAAAGTACATGGCGGTACGTCTAGCCTCTTCTATCTCGCATTTGAGCAAGAAAAGAAACTAACTTTCTACAATGGTTAGGCCGGTATCCCCCTGGCTTACATCTTCGCCGAGACTCCCGAGGAGCGCGAGCAGTTCGCTGCTGATTTCCGTCCCATCGCTGAGAGCCACCGTGGAGCTATTAACATTGTTACCCTTGATGCTAAGCTCTTCGGCGCTCACGCTGGTAACCTCAACCTTGAGCCCGAGAAGTTCCCTGCTTTCGCTATCCAGGATACTACCAAGAACGCCAAGTACCCTTACGACCAGAACAAGAAGGTCGATGCCAAGGATGTCGGCAAGTTCATCAAGGACGTCCTTGACGGCAAGGTTGAGCCTAGCCTCAAGTCCGAGCCCATTCCCGAGACTCAGGAGGGATCTGTTACCGTTGTTGTTGGCCGCAACTACCAGGAGGTTGTCATTGACAACGAGAAGGATGTCCTGGTTGAATTTTACGCTCCCTGGTGCGGACACTGCAAGTCGTAAGTTTTCATACAGCTCATCTACCATTTGTTCCATCTCTAACCCACTCTCACCAGACTTGCTCCCAAGTACGAGGAACTTGCTGCGCTGTACGCCGATGTCCCTGAGTTGAACGAGAAGGTCACCGTGGCCAAGATTGATGCCACTGCCAACGATGTGCCCGATTCCATCACTGGCTTCCCCACTATCAAGCTCTACCCCGCTGGTGCCAAGGACTCCCCTATTGAGTACGCCGGATCCCGTACCGTTGAGGACCTCGTTACCTTCATCAAGGAGAACGGCAAGTACCAGGTGGACGGCCTGGCCGATGGCGCCAAGACACCCGAGGAGCGTCCCGAGGTCACTGCGGCCCCCAAGGCCACTGAGTCTCCCGCATCCGATGAGAAGGATATTCACGATGAGCTTTAAGTGCTTACTCGGGATTTGAATGTGTAACTTCATATGTTGTATTCTTTGTCTGAACTTGGACTATATTCGATGCCATCTATTCCCTGTAGATCGTTGTTATCAAAGTCCAGACTTATAGTGGTCTAGAGTAAATCAGTAAATCAGTAAATCAGTAAATCAGTAAATCAGTAAATCAGTAAATCAGTAAATCAGTAAATCAGTAAATCAGTAAATCAGTAAATCAGTAAATCAGTAAATCAGTAAATCAGTAAATCAGTAAATCAGTAAATCAGTAAATCAGTGAATCAGTGAATTATTCTAATTGTTATTATTTTGTGACTTGTCCTCTGTACAACATCGATTTCAGCCAAGCTCAGCCTGGCTGATCAATCGCGTCGCGTGAAACGCGTCGATCTCTTATTCTCTTATCGCCCCGGAGCTCCTGACAACTTCCAACTTTCTGTGGTCAATCCCCATTAGTCTTCATATTTACCCATCCATCATGGTCAGCCCTGCCATAAAACGAAAATCAGAGCATCTCTCCGGCCCTGACTCGAAAAAACCCAAAGGTGGAAGCATCACTGCATTTTTTGGAGCTCCAAAGCCGAACCCCCGGGCAATCAATCAACTTCAACTTCAGCTCCAACCCCACGGTCAAGCAGTTTTGATAAGGCAAAATGGGTTGCTTCCCTGACACCAGAACAAAAGGAACTATTGAAGTTGGAAATTGAGACCTTAGATGAGAGCTGGCTGGCTCACTTGAAGGATGAAGTGGTCAGCACTGAATTCTTGAACCTCAAGCGATTCCTGAAGAAGGAGAAAGATTCCAATGTCAAGGTTTTCCCGCCAGAGGAGGATATCTATTCTTGGTAAATTGGACCACACCCTACTTGGGCCCAATCCGTATGCTGATCAGACTGTAGGTCCCGACACACCCCGCTGCACAATGTCAAAGTGGTCATCATTGGCCAGGATCCGTATCACAATCACAACCAAGCTCATGGGCTATGTTTCTCCGTCCGTGCCCCTGTACGAGCCCCGCCATCATTGGTCAATATCTACAAGGGTATCAAGATCGACTACCCTGACTTCGAGTCACCCCCAATAATGGGGGGCTACTCATACCTTGGGCTGAGCGTGGCATCCTGATGCTCAACACTTGCCTTACTGTTCGTGCCCACCAAGCCAACAGTCATTCCAACAAGGGCTGGGAGAAATTCACACAAAAGGTTATCGACCTCGTTGCTCGAGTCCGAACCAACGGCGTCGTCTTCCTTGCTTGGGGCCGGCCTGCCGGAACCAGAGTGGCAAAAATCAACAAAGAGAAGCATTGCATCCTACAATCTGTCCATCCCAGTCCTCTGAGCGCGCATAATGGCTTCGTGAGTAGATCATCCTCTATGAATTTGTCCTTTAAACGCCTTCTTCGCTGACATGATGATATATACATAGTTCAAAAACGGGCACTTCAAGAAGTGCAATGATTGGCTTGCTTCGCGATACGGAGAAGATGGAATCATTGATTGGAGCCTAGTACCGTCCAAAAAGCCTCTGCCGGCCCCTTGTGTCTCTGACAAGGATGATTCAACCGCTTTGACCAACAAAGTGCCAGTTGAGCCTCAACCTGCCAAGACTGAGGATGTCAAAGTCCAGCCTGGCAAGGTTGATGATGAGTTTGATGATGATGATGCTATTGAAGCCCTAGTGGCAGCTGAAGCAGCAGAGAATGTTTCAAAACTAGTTTAGGCTTCTTCAACTGCATGCATACATGTCATCCTCCTGACCGAGAAGAGTCTTGCGTTGGCTATGTTTGTTTCAATGTTGTTTCAGCCATGGATACTTAAGGAGTTCAAAGGTTCAAGCGCATTTCATAGGATGTTCAGATCGATTTCGGACCGATCTGTATAATGTACACTAGCTAATTGTCGTTTCAATCCATTTCAATCTATTGAAAATGTCCATGTATATGTCTGTATAGGGGTAAATGCATACACGATACGACCTCATGTACCTAAGCTTATTACTTATCGATAAGCTCTTATCGATAAGAGCTACAAGAGTAATCGATTTCTGCAACCACCCAATTAGGAAGGCGGTACTGTATTTTCAGGTGGCGGTGAGATTACCTCAAGGGGAGGTATCTAACAACATCCCCTAAGAAGATTAGGGAAATTAGATAACTAAATAAAGTAAGAGGTAAGAAGTATACTACTTTTTTTTTTTTACCCAAGGAATTACACCTCCGTAAATGGGTTTCTTAGATGGAACTCACTTGGCTTCCGGATATCCCTCAGTCGCGGAATCGCACTCGAGCCTTGCGAGCTTGTCCCACGTGCCAACGATCAAAGGTGCGTACACGATAGAAACATTGATTCCAGCAATGGCCTCCGTCTAACATTGCAACAGAAACGGTGCCGACATTTAATCCCTAAATGGGAGCCCTCCAATGATCTGAATCGACAGTCACCACCCCAAGTGGACAATGACCCTGGGAGGCACATCCACAGAGATGACTTGAATCGCGAACAGCTTTCTGTATCCGCGCACATAGACCCACTGCAAACAATATCTGATGGTCCAGCATCGTTTTCGGTCCCTACTACCGAGCGATTTGTGGGCGATCTCAATCCAGAATCCCTGATTCGGGAAAGATTAGATGAGCCGACTGGAAGCCCTCTCCGGGATCGTATCGGGCTCTGGATCAACTCCCCAGCTGCACAGAAAGCGAAGCCTCGGAGCGTACAGAGAGGACAAACCACAGCCGAAGAATATGCAGCCAATCCCCCAACGCAAAGGGCAGTCGATGGCCAAACCATTGCATCATTACTTCACCAACGGTTTATCGCGGGGATGCAAGCATGCGAACAACTACCCCTCGCGACGCGCCAGCCTTTGTCCGCTATCTACTTCTCCAAGGTCAATCATATTGTACCAATAGTTGACCAGGGGTTTTGCGAAGCTCAATCAGAAGGTTCGGCATCAGTGTTCCTTGAAAAGGCCATCTGCCTCGCCGCAGCAAAGACCCGCGCAGCCAGTCCCCACTTACGCCTTGTGCCAGGCGGCCCAATCCTACCGTCACGCCAATTCTGTTCTGAGATTTACAAGGGATTGGTTGTCGCTATGAACGCAGAGCTAGAACCGGATCGGTTGACACGGATCCGTGTTCTTGCACTAATGTCTTTGCACTGTGAGGGCCTCGAAGGGGCCGAGGCAGCATCTTCACACCTCTGTCAAGCTATCCACCAGGCCCAGACGGTAGGATTACATCTCGGCCGGCCAAATCAAACCTCCACCGATTCCCTGACTAAACTCTTCTGGTGTCTATGGACATTGGACAAGATGCATGCAAGTATCGGTGGCCGACCGGTTCTTCTAGCTGACCGCGATATCGGGATCGTGAAACCCAATGTCAGCGATCAGACGTCACGAGGGGCTTTTGAGGTGTGGCTTGCCGTGTCAGATCTGCTCGCAACTGTGATTTCGTTCTACCGACCCTCCGCAGAAACCACTAGCGGGTGGGAAGAGGGTTTCCCTGCATTTGAGGATATTGTGGGGGAGGACACCCAAGGTGATCTGGATTTTGCTACCCTAGGTATGCCTGTCATAGAGATCTCTCCTGTCTTTGTCGGGGCTTCGAACTAACCGCGAGCAGGATTCTTGGAGCTTTATTACCATTCTGTTGCTATTTTGTCCTGTCGGTATAAACCCACCGAGAATATTGATGGCACCAGGCTCTCTTCGGTCAGACAAGGACTAGCAGCTGTTCGAATTCACTCCATCGTCGCCTCGGAGTGTGCAGATGACCTACCACCTCTTCCGATCGTGCCATACTCTGTCACCTTGTCGATGGGTGTTTCGTACCGGCAACTCCGCTCGAGCAAACTTATTACGCACCTTGACCGAGCGAAAGCTAGTCTTGAGGCGTGCCGTTCTGTCCTAGAAAATCTTAGCCCTTATTGGTATTCCGCCGAGGCGATGGCCCGGCTGGGTCAAAAAGCCCTGCGCCAGATTCAAGGCAACCCACAATCCTCTCAGACAAACCATACGGGTTCACCTCTGCTACAAGAGGTAGCAGAGTCCTCGCACAAACCAGTCATTACCGATAGCTCAGTATCAAAGAGGCTAGAGTCGATCAATCCCGCACCCCAGGGCAATGATCCCCCCCCGAGCCAAGAGGCAGCGCAATAACAGCGATGGAATTGCAGCTGTATCCCCGGCGCCGGAAATCACAATGGACGTTCTCCAACCTCCGGTGGACGATCTAGATACATCTATGCAGGATGGGTTTACAGATATTGACACCTTGTTTGGAGATTTCCTAGATATCTCTCTTCCCACCCATTTCTGGGATCCTATTTTTATGGAGACTCAAGGGCAAACGAATGAACCGCAGTCATAATCATCATCATTATAAATATATGCTGTGTATATAAAAAAAAATTGAAAAAAGAAACTATACATGATGCAGCATGAATTTTAGTGCCGAGCCGCTCGCCTGTGCAACCTTCCAGTAGGTAGGTAGAATATACCCAGGGCACACGAGGAGCCGTCCATCGTATTTAAAAGTCAGGGATTGACTGTAGCCAAGCCCGAGTTGGCTCTCGAATGTGGTATTCAGTCTGAAAGCTTCATAGACTCATGCTCGGACATGCCGTTATCCGCCAGATGGGCGAAATCAACAGCCTTCGTATCAGCATCAAAGCCCATCATGTTCACGTTATCAACGTCGAAATCAAACCCCTTCTCCTGAACCGGGGCACCATGTTGTTGGGCGTTGTCATCAGCAAAGAAATCGGTATTGCCCGGATCGTCAAAGTTGATGAGGGCATCGAAGTCATTCTGGGTAACCTCGGCATCATTCGCCAGATCCATGAGTTCAGTGAGACTCATTTCAGAGGGCATAGCAAAGGCATCACGATCCTTGTTGCGGTTGGCATTCGGATTGAGGTTATTTGTGCTGCCGTTTTCGCTTCCGTCGGAGTGCGGTGGCGTCGAAGCGAAAAGGTCTCCGGTAGACCGTCCGCCCGCGGAAGGACCGGAGAGTTTGGGGTATGTAAGGTCCGGAATCTTCTGAGCAAGAGAATCCGGCGGGGGCGTCAGGGTGTGCAGACGGGAGGGAACGGCAGTGGTGGTGGATTGGAAGGGGTCTGGGGATGCGGTAGGTTGATCGGGGGGATGTGATGAGGCGGAAGAAGACTGGACGTCTTGGGGGAGACGGTGAGCTGGATGCCTGCTTTTCGGATTGCGGCTTCAAGGAAGGAGGTGGCGAAGTCTGCGGAGGCGTAGATCTCACGCAGGCGCTGGAGGATGCGCATGCATTGATAGAAGCGTTGGAGACTGGTCATGCGGATGCTTGGGTCCGTGGACTTGATGTCGAGGAGATGGATGATCACTGCGGGTAGGAGGACTGTGACGCCGGTGGTGGGATAGTACCGGGTCAGGTCGAGGCAATGCAGGTCCTGAGCGATGGCAGTGATCTCGACTGCAGCGAATCGCACCTTGTTCCGGGACATGTCCTGGAGTTCGGCGTCTGTAGATGGGTAGGGGATGGCGGGGAGGACTTGTGGGCGGTGCAGAGCGCTAGATGTGGTGAGATAGACCATCTTCAACAAGGCACGGTGGGAGTGAAGCACTTCGTCTGCTTCAGATAGCTTCGATCCACTAGAGGCTACATATTGGGTTTCGACGGGGAGGTTGGCCAGCCAGTCCTCCAACTCCTGGTCACAACTTCGTACCTCGAAAGTCTCCGCAGTGGATTTCTTCGGGACGAGCATCATCGTGGTCTCCATGGTGCCACCAAACTTATGGCTAAGGACCGAGTACTGGGCAGATAATACGTGACTGACACAGAGACAGAGTTTTGCTTTCTCAATGAACATCAAGGCGAGCTCGCGCTGATGGCTGACATTCTGGAGAATCTCCGAGTTGCCAACGATCGCTACGATCTCGGGCGAGAAAGGGTGAAATTCAAAATCATCGAGGCTCAGCATGGGCACATCACAATCGTCATCCTTGACACGCATGGGCCGTCGCATACCCAGGGCAATCAGTCGATCACGGGTGTAAGTGCTCCACCAGATCCGCTTCCACATGCGTTGGCGACGCACATCCATCCGCGAGTTTCCGGGATCCCGATGTAGGCCGATGGTGTGGGCCAAAGACAAACTGACACCCATCCAATGCCAGGTGTCCTTCTGGTCATCGGGAGTCTCGTACCAGTAGGTCATGAGCAAAAGCGATTGCACGAGCGAGATGCGGTCCACCTCGTAGTCGAAATCGTACAGGAGACGGGCACGTTGGAAGAAGACCTTTCGGGCAACCTTGCGGGTCTGGTAGCCGGCGGCTTGCAGATGCTTCATATCAATGAAGGCGACACCGGCGAACATGACGGCCTGGAAAAGCAACAGACTGATGCGGTGGATTCCATCGTTCTGGACGATATTCTGCAAGAACTCCTCCAGGTCGAGCAAGGGCATATAGGTGTGAACATAGTGGATGTAGCTCTTCAATAGTTCGTTTCGTAGCGCCACGTCGGGGATGGTCAAGGCACCCTTGACAGCCAAGTAGTCAATATCCTCTTTCTGAAGCCGTGCGGGGAGTCCTCGGATGTAATCTGGTAAGAACCCACTGGCAGATTGTGTATTGCCAAAATTGGGGTCTAAAAGTTGCTGGATTTGCGAAGTCACATTCGCCAATGGCATTGAGGCGGGAACTGCTGGGTTCGGGGCCATACGGCGTCGATAGTGATCATCAGAGCCGATGCGTTGAGCCTGATTTTGATCTGTTTTGTTGTGTTTTGCTTGTCAGCCAAATGGAGTCCTTCAGAAGTTTGGAAAGAATTGACGAACATAGCAGATGAGGCATATGTTGACCCTGGTCAAAATCCACCGAGGCCTGCGAGGGGGACGTTGGCACCAAATCGGCCAAGCCTGAAAGATCACTGAGTCGATGGAAAGGATTCTCCTCTGAGGCCTCTGGAGATTCGGAGTGGTTCTCTATTTCAACGCGAGATTTCCTAGATCCCACATGTCAGTGACTCTTATCATTGGTAAATTGGATTTCAATTCCACGAACTTTCTGCGTTTACTCTCTGTGACCACACACTCCACCTGATCTAACCGGCAATTCGTGCATGGAGAGCCATTCTCAACCACGTCACATCGCACTTTACGGGCACGGCAACAGCAGCAGGCTTTGGAGGCGCGTCTCTTCACGGGACGGTTATGAGCGGAGAGTCCGGCCGTGGAGGCCTTTCTTTTCCCAGATTCGGTATCAGTCATGTTGTGTTATTGCGTCCGGGGGCGAATGGGGGACATTCGAGTTATATAGAGACACTGGGCATGTGATAGAGAACTGAAGGGGGAACGATGTGTTTTAACATGTGAAGAGGGAAAAGAAGAGAAAAAGGGAAAAAGAAGTCCAAAGTAGAAAATCGAGAGAGGAATCCTTTTTTTATTTAAATTGAAAAATCCAAAATAAGTTATGCCCCAGGTTCCCACACTTTCTATTACCATGGTTGAATCCACCAACAAGCCAAGGTTTGAGGGGGAAGAGATCCGCAGGGAATCAATTACGGAATAAATTACTGGTTTCCCCCATGTATTTCAAAAAATATTATACGGTATTGTCAGGATTGCCTAGTTAGGTAATATGCCACTAACTCAGGGGGCTAAGGCCGTCAAACCGGGGTACTTCGGACACCGTTGCGGCCTTTGTTTGGCCTTTTGGTTGGCCTTTGTTTGGCTTCTGTTTGGTCTGTACCGTCCCTCGGCCCGGTCACGTTACGTGTCCAGGTGTCTTTGGGGGCTCCATGTGAAAGTCTATCGGTCTATGATATCATTCTCTTCAAAAACACTATACACCTAAAGGTCGGCTATATCTTCCTATTAAGTCGGCTATAGACTCAACCCATACTAGTCTCTTATAAGTACGAAATTTTGAAGCAGTTCACATTGAATCTCTTGATAAACGTTCCCCCTTAACTCTGGATAGCATATTCAGAATTCAGACTCTTATTCCCTCTTTTCAAAGTGGGTCCCTCATCCTCCGAGAAACACCGACCAACAAAAACAGAGCTAAAATAAATCAAATAAATCAAATAAAACCCCGTGAAGATCCTAGATTGCGGGTCAACGTGGGAAAAGGGGAGTTTTCAGGATTTTCGCACATTCCCCCGACCCAGACTTTTCAGCCAAGACTGGAGAGAGTTCTCCAGTCTCCGACAAGCGGAGCCCATGTGGAGGGAGATTAGCCCTTTTGAGGGTGTCTGAACGTCTGGACCGATGAGTAATATCACTCTTGGTGTCTTACCTTTTCAAATTAAACATATTTATGTTGTACATACTGGACTATACACAATGCTAATATACTCTATGCTCCATACAATATATATATGTATGTATGTATATATCAATGTAAAGATCCAACTATTTTATATATATCCAAAACTATACAGAATTTCATCGTTGATTCCTTACATGTAATATCATAACCCGGCTATACCTACGTAATAGCACGGCCCTAAAGGCTCCATTTTGACGCAGCTCTGTTATATTATTATTAATCTTCCAGTCTAGGCCTTCTACAGGTGGAACACCGTTCTTCTGTGCGACAATTAAATGATTGTACTTTGTACAATAGGTATGTTATGCTTTGTCTGGAGTACTTTATCTATGTTACAAGTTATATTGTTTAGTTCTCATAGTTATTTGACTCTACATATTGTATTGCACTACCCACAATCCACATCCACGCCCCGGAATAACGACGGTGAACTAGCCGGAATCCGTGGAGTACCCCTGAACGGGCCCAAATGAATTGATGTATATCCCGCACCGTGTTTCACACGGCCTGCCGAGTTTACCCTCACGTGGACCCAAAGTGCCGATTTCCGGAAGAACGCATGTAACATTCTCCAAGTACATACCTAAGGTACTCACTCTATGCCTTCAAGTTCATTTTACTTTTTTTACTTTTTACTTTTTACTTTTTATTTTTTACTTTTGACTGTCCATTCCATTCGAGATATTCAAATATGGCCACAATGACGCCATACTCTCAAAAACCTCAAAACCGGGAATTCCCCAATGGAGAACATCAAAGAAATGAAGAATTCTGTCCCTCACGAGACTGAGAGCGGATCCAGTGGGACGCCAATCACGAACCTGGCAAAGGTCACTTTCTTTTTAATTACCGGATCTTGAAATTTTTATTTCTGCCCGGCATATTCCGTTGCCCCAGATAAATCCCACGAAATCACCAGATCCTGGGGTAGAGGGTAATCGTGACCTAGTTCCTCTTTAGAATTTCCGAAAAAAGGAACTTGGAAGTCCAAGGGCGAAAGACAAAAGCTTACATGCTCCGATACATTGCCGACTTTGTCATCCGAACCGGAACCGATCAGTTTCAAGCGGAGAGGTTATATATACACATGTATATATATATATTCATATATATATTCATAATATCTCTCTAGATCACAAAATATACAATCTCCATCTAGATCTGATCTGATACGATTCAAGTACTCTGTAGTTCCGGAATAAAGCTTTTATATGACATATACGCAAATGCAACTCAATACAATCATGGCTGCAGGATTGCGGAACAGATTGCGGAACATGCATGTATCCCCTCAGACATGTCACTAATAACAAGTTAAAATAACCAAACGACCAAATAACTCAAAGAGATGGAGGATGTCAAATTGCCAAGCGTTCAGAGGGAAATACGCGGCAGTCCGGCATGATTTCACCCCACGTTTTCCCAGTCCGGGGGAAAGCCGAAGTCTCAGCCACAAGCTAAACCTTGGATTGGATGTCAGCTTAGATCGTTTTCCCAAAAGTCGGGGTCATGGCGTACTTGCCCCTCCAAATGCGGGGAGAATAGGAAACTTCCAATGAATCATTGGCTACGGACTGATAAGAGGAATCCTCTATAATATATAATACATGATATATATATAATATCTATACGGAGTATAATATATGTAATTGTATTAATTGTATATTTTTTGCGCGTGACACTCGGGTGCCCCGTATCCATCACCCGTGGACCCCGTCAGAAATTGCCATTTCCGGGGGGGATTTCTTTTTCTTTTTCTTTTCTTTTTTCCTTTGGCACGGTGGCAATGACATTCCATGGTTAGAGGATGTATGTTCCGGTATTTCAAGATGACTCCCGTATTGAGACGGAGTTAGGTCGGATGTGTACATAGATCAAAAATGTCTTTCTAGGATGCTACTTTCCACACCACAACCGCAACACCCATTGCAAAAGCTGAAGCGATAAGCATGCCCAGGGGTATGAGTGTACCTAGCATCGCCATACTAGTCAAAGTTGCGAATATGCCCCCCGCTGGGGTAAATCCACCATACGACTGAAACGCAGCCGCCAAAGATCCTACAGACCGGGGTTAGCACGACTTCAAACAATCCCCCCTACAGAAAGTGGCACAGAAGACCTGCGATAATCCCCGTCGGTCCAAATCCAAGAAACATGAAGAGCGCCATGACAAGGGTGAAAGCGATTCACCACGCTGTGATGGCGGCGAAGATATCTGCGACTGGTCAGCGTGGTCATATCCGTAAATGGACAGGTTAGGTCTTTACCAGGACGGGAGAGCCATTGCAGGATATTTGTTGACCAGTGATTCCACAAACGCTCTGCAGCGGTGATAGCCAAGGAACTGTCGGCAACGAAGCGATGGATGTGTATGCTAAAGATCGTTGCTGCAGTAAAATTCGAGCTAGCAATAAGGATGTCGAGAGGATACATTTTGCTAATAGAATACAGTCGAGAGGGGAAAAGGAGGAGGAGGAGGAGGAGGAGGAGGAGGTATATGCTGGTTATCCTAATATACAATGTTGTTGGATGTGTATGTTGCTTCCTGCAAGCACTCTTTTGTTAGGCCTCATATAGCCTATAGATAGCCGCTGGCCCCATTGTCTTTCATCTCTTAGTGTCTCGGTTGTTCATCCATGAGCTGGTGAGCTGGGTTTATTTCAATGCTGATATTTTTATGTGTTAATATACTTGAAAATAGGGAATTGGATCTGGGAAAAAAATAACTAAGAGCACACCGACTGCAATGTTGGCATCCGAGATTCCTCTGATGCTCCCCAACGGCACAGCAAGACTCCAGTCGTTTACTCACTGCCTAGGATGGTTTTGAAAATCATAAAATGGATCTTTGGATTCGTTACATCATTTCATATCACTGTCGAGACATCCAATTCCAATAAACACCTCCCACCCTGCGTGGACCAATCTGAACAGACGCCGAGAAATAGAAGCAGACATAAACATCATAAACCAAATTTAGGTAAACCGCAAATCACATCTGCTGTCGGGGAATCAAGATAAGAATGACCCATGAAGAAAAAAAAAAGAAAAAAAAAGAAAAGAAAAGAAAAGAAAAAAGAAACAAAACAAGTATTCGAGTAATATCCATAAACACCCTAAACACCACCACGGCCCATCCTCTCAATTGAACTCATAATCCCGCCTCGGCCGGGAGTAGGCATTGCAATGCCAGATCTGCCACCGCTATTACCACGAGAATGACCGCCGGGAGCACCGAATCTAGGGATCCTCTTTTCCGTAGTGGCAGGGGGACGGATGCTTCCAGACACAGAACGACTGACACTGAGACGGAAGTCGTCGGGGGTGACTTCGCGAGATGGTCGAGCTGGTTCGTCAACGTGGTCATTGTGCACAGAAGATGCCACAGAGGGCTCGCGGTCTCGAGGTTGAGATGGGACGGGCGCCTGCTGCATGGCTAGCCACTCGTCAACAGCAGCAACAAGCTCGCCCTTCTCGGCACGTTCGGATTCCAGATTTGCACGAATTCGTTCGGTATCGTCCTTCAGAGCAGCCATTTCTCGCTGCAGACCCTTGATCTGGGCCTCCATGGCACGCTTCTCGGCCTCGTGCTCGTCATTCTCGCGAGCGAAGTAACTGTTGTTAGCCGCGCCCATTGAATCGGATTGCGCAGTATCACGTTCGACACGGAGATGTTCATTCTCCTCGCGTGCAGCAGTGAGTTTCTTCTCTGCCTCACGCAAACGTTTCTCCCAGCGAGACTCGTAGCTCTTTTTCAAGGCCGCAACCTTAGTTTCGTGCTTGCCCTTGTAGAGCACATGAAGCTCACGAGCGACCTTTTCCACGGCATCCTGAACTTCGCGAGCAGTATCCTCAGCCGAGTTGGAAGACTTGTGAGATGAGCTAGCCTTACTAGTGCTAGACACAGCCGCAGCACGTGCAGCGGAAAGCTGACTTTCGAGCTCGACAACTTTGCCTTCTAAAGTCTCCTTGTTTTTCTCGGCCTCTTCTGCCTTTCGGGACAGACGGTCACGCTCACGCTCTCCCTCCACTAGTTCGGAGCGGGCAGACCGCAGAACAGTTTCCATCTCATTAACTCGACGTTCCCACTCGGCCTGTTCCATCTCCAGCACCTCTTTGCCGGCGGCTTCGTTGCGTACTTCTTCCAGCGCTTCACCGACTCGTCTCTCCGCGTCTGCTACTGCTTGCTTTAGGCTGGCAACCTCGGCCTCTTTGCCACTGAGAGTGGCTTTGAGCGAAGATATGTCAGACAAGAAGCCGGACTTCAATGACTCCAATTCACGGGGGAGTGACTGTGGGAATGGATCGAGGTGTAGGTGCAGCCGGAATATCAAAGTCCAGCAGGGACGACATCTTCCCGGGAGATCGAATGGATTGCCGGGCAGATCGCATAGGCGAACGCCGCGAGGGGGAGAAGCGAGTACTTGGCATAGATTGACGAGGGAAGAAATTCATTTGATCGGAGAAATCAAGAAGATTGGTAGAGTCAACTGGATGAGCCATGTCCCGAGGGCCTCTGGGTCTCGGTGTAGGCGATCCCATTGGCGAATTTCCATCTAGATAGGCACTCGCCCTGTATGCCCTGCGACCGGTTCCCGGGGTGGTTGGATCAACACTGTGTCGATGCCCGTCCCTAGTGGGAGCTGGGCTAGGGGCGACACTGTCTCGCATTGACTTCATCGGCGACTGGGCGCGAAGCTTTGCAAATGTAGTCATGTCAGGCATGGCGGAGAATGTGCTCAAGCAAGTGTCATCCATTGAGTCGTCGACCATCGAATTCTCATGTGAGATATTCTCTTTGTCGCCATCTTCATGGAGTACTGTGCTCATTCCTTCATTGCGTCTGTCCTCTATCATGCTGTTGCCAATTGCTGATCGGTCGTGGACGGCACTTGTAGTGGAGAGGACGCTCTGGTCATGGAGTACACTCGGCTCCTCTTCGGCATTGATGTGAATCGCTGGTGCATCTGGCCGACTCACCATACCCTTCTTATGGCGCTCATTCATCTGTAAATCGTCCTCCAGATCCTGGGGTGTTTGGTCATAAGATCTTTTGCGGGGAGTTGCTGCAACTGAGCGCTGGTCACTCACCCCAAGTGATGCACGAGAAATCTGGCGCGACTCATGAAGATCGATGGTGCTTTCCTTGGGACTCGGTCGGAAGGATGAAGTAGGTCCTGGAATAGGGGAAGAGGAGTTGGATGCTACCGGTGACTTTACATGTGCATGTACCTTGGGAGAATCAACTGTCTCTGCTGCTTCGGCACAGACGGGCAAGTTCGATTCCGCAGCAAATGATGAACGCTTAGACGCCACCGGTGAGTCTTGTTTCAACTCGCGCAGCTTCGGTGAATCAGCCGGCGTCTCTAGTATTTCAGGGCCGATGGGCGAGTTCGGTGCCACAATAGGCGAAGGATACTTAGACACCATTGACGGATCTTGTTGCATATCATCTTGTTCCGATGGATCGGCTGTTATGTTTCTTGCCTCATGGCGGAAAGGTGAACTAGCGGGATCGGGCAATGGCCGCGATTTAGGAATTGGCGAGTCATTCTGCATTTCGCGCAAGCGATCGAAGTCAACCGTCTCGTCCCGCGCATCAGGGCGAAACGGGGAGCTTTCTGGATCCTCTAGAGCTAGCCGCCGTCCCAATCCAGGAGACATGGGCTGGACCTCGCGCAGTTTTTGAAAATCCACTGTCTCTTCTCGGACATGAGGTCGGAACGGCGAACTTCCGGGGCTCTCCTCCTGCAGCGGCTCAAGTTGTGGGCATGGTAGGGGAGACGACTGTTGCTCTCTATGCATATTTTGGAAATCCACTGTATCTTCACTGGCGTTAGGACGGAAGGGAGAGCTTATTGGCTCCCCTAGATCCAGCCGCTTGTCCAAGCCAGGTGACATGGGCTGCACTTCACGCAACCCTCGAAAATCAACTGTATCTTCCATTGCATGTGGACGGAATGGAGAGCTCATAGGGCTCTCCTCCTCTAGCGGTTCAAGTTGTGGGTGTGACTGGGACGAGGTCTGTCGCATTTCGCGCAGCTTCTGGAAATCCACGGTATCTTCGCGACCATCAAACTGGAACGGTGAGCTGGCGCCGGGTTGATATGACTCGGCATCATTGAAATCGTCATTCTCGTGTTCATACTCGTTCTCGGGTTCGTTAGGGTAGTGGGCTTCGTTTTCATCATAGGTATTCGGACTCGGCGCCGCGTGGCCTGTCCATCCTTTTTTCAATGGACTTGAAGGGGCAACATGTTCTGAGGGTTGGTCAAGGGTCTTGTGAAGAAAGGGCGAAGAATTCGCCATTTGAGATTGTGCGCGCGCATTCTGGTAGGAAGATGAGAGGGGCGAGAGTGGATTTGGCATTATGAAAGCAAGAGCACCCCTGGGGAATGAGAGGGGGAAAAAGGTTAGTCGTAAAAAAAAGTCGTCTCTGGACTGTTTTCCGAGCCCGTTCAGTTGGACAAAAAGAAAGCAGAGCAAGGCAGAGTTTGTGTATACAAAAAGAGTTGCCGTGTTGACGTTGCTGGGTAAACAAAACTAAGCCTAATTGGGAAAGGTGCACCCAAACTATCTAATCGGAGCCTCAGAGCCTCGGACTATACAACACAATAACCTCTGTATCTGATCCATTTGCCTCATAGTATTAGGGTCGCCGTATGCAAAATATCACTCTGATGTCTCTTTGCTCATCGATGTTATAGCTAGAAGAATACTGATTAGCAGACTATATATACCATGTAGAATCGATAGAAAGCATGATCCCTTGTTGGATGAGGTGGAACATCCTACAAGAGAGAACAATTTCCAATACCTTTGTTGATTATATCATAATATTTATGAATTTATGAATTTATGAACTTATGAACTTATGAACTTATGAACTTAGAACTCTAGATACATAAAAAAAGTCCCTATTCGCCCTTTGTTTCCTAATCCGAGACTATTGCCCCTTCTGTGCACGCATCATCTCCATTGACAATGATATGAACGATGTCGTCGTGTGGCTGCTCTGGAAGAGCAACATAATGACACACGGCTGCTGGCTCCACGGTTACTGATGATCGTTTATCGCGGTGGAGGAACCACAGCTGTAAAGCGCCGATGAGCGCAACGAGACTACTCCCCCACCAGGCAAGAGCAGTGCAGCCAATCTCAGCCCCAGAACTGTAAAGCAAGCCGGATATCGGAGGGGCAAGAGTCCGAGATGCAGCCCCAGCGGAAGCAGCGAAGCCATTGATTTTGCCCATGACGGAGTCTGAGGGGCTAGCTTGCTTGATGAGAATCAAGAGGATAGGATAGTCGATAATGGACAGGGTATTGCGAACGATCAAGCAAGCATAAATACCGATATAGATGAGCTGGCGTGGCAAGAAGACTAGGAAGGGAACCATGAAGTATGCGATTGGATGGAGCACCGTAACGATGACAAAGAGCCGCCAGATTCCCAGGTAATGTGCCAGGATGGGGAAAATGATGCTCTGGATGACAAGGGCGATGATGCCATCGGTGGACATGATCACACCCACAGTTCGAGTGGAAAGACCGACTCCGCCCGGAATGTCAAAGGGCGAGTGGTGCGGATGTGATGATCCTCGCGGGTCCTTGTCCTGCAAGAATATGGGCAAGAGATGGTCATATGTCATTGAGTGGTAAGTAAAGATAGCCAACGCAACAACAAGCATAATGACTTGCCAGGTAAGAGCTTTGGGCTTTGGTAACTTCTTCCACGTAGGCGAGGAGCCATCGGCTTGCACACTCCAACTCTCATCATTATGCAGGTGAACCCGGTTAAAGGTCCCGTAAGACTCCGCTCGCAGGTCCACGCCAGCATTGGCAGTTGCGCCAGATGTAACCAGAAGCGGCTGCTCAGCTGCTTGGTCGAAATGTCCATAGGTCCCGCTAGGTGGCATGTCTGGATGAGTCTCTTGCAGGAACAGCCAGCTGCCGATAATGCTGAGGATCAGTAGAACACAGCAAACGAGGTTGGGCAAAAGGTAGGGAAATTTGCCAAACAGGCCATCGGCTGGGAACAGGGAGGGAAACCCCTCAGTGGGCTTTGCTAGCAAGCCTCCAATAGCTGGATGTAATTAGCATTTGCAGTAAAATCCAATCATGTAAAGACGAAGGCTATACATACCTGGGCCGATAATCGTTCCAATTGACCAAACAAAAGGCATGATGGCATACGCTCGAGCTGTGTGCAATATTAGGCCCCCCAACTCCACTAGATATGACAGAATGGTAATAGACTCACGTTCATGCTCAGGTCGTCTGACAAGCTCGCCAACCATTGTTTGAATTACTCCAATATTCCCATTCAAGGCTCCACCAAGAGCTCGACCAGCGAGCGCGACCCAAAAGTTCGGGGCCATCCCTACCAGGATCAAAGAGGCCATAGTCCCCACGCAGCCAGATATAAGGATGGGTTTCCGGCCGACGCGATCTGAAAGAGCACCCCAGAACATACCGGTCAGAGCCTCTGCGAGCGAGAATGCCGAAATCAGAATACCGGCATAGAAGGAGGCATTGTTGCCATTATCCATGTGAAAGTCCTTGACCATCACCCACGAATAGGGGAAGATAGAAGTTAAGGCGATGGGCTCTGCAATCCGGCATATTGCTGTTGTTGTGTTAGTCATTGCCAAGTACGAGCCCGGGATAAAACATACCTAGGAGGAAAAGCTGTGCTGTTGGAAAGCTATCGGGCGACGGATGAGATCTTACCTGTGGTGTCAATGCCATAGTTCTTCAGAAGCAGTTCAAATCTTACGGCAATCCACCCCGGCAGTGTCAAGTTGATCTTGTTATCCACCGCACTGCTCGTACCTTATGAGCGGAGCGGGAGGGCTGCTCTCTTTCTTGCTTTCTTGCTTTCTATTTTTATTATTGTCTCAAGAGTGTCGACTTCTGTATTTTCTGGGGTGTGTAAACCAAAGACAAGGTGGGAGAAGGGGTGAGGTTGAAAGGTCGGAGAGGGAGAACCTTGGTAAGAAACCTTTTTTCCACCGCCGAGAACGAACAACATCTGACCCTGATCCCTACCTAACGCAATTAAGCATTCCTAATACTTTATAAATAGCCACATAAATAGTCATATAACTAAAATATGGATCTATTTTAACTTTTGAGGATCTTGTTTTATATATGTAATTTAACACTTCCCACGTTGTGATGAAAACTCTTTGGGTGGCGAACCATATTTTGTTCGGGTATCTTGGCAATGGTCGAGGATATTGGATATTGTTCAATAATAGCTAACTATTAGGTTAATAATATGATATAACATGACATGATATTATAATTTTATATATATGATGTGAGACAAATAAACAACAATGGACTTCGGGAGTCTTCCAAGGTTTCCCCACTCTGCTTTCTTAAACCCTTCTTGACCAATCACAAGTCATAGAGTAATTTGAGTTGGACCCATAAATCAGCCGCATATATACTTACATATAGGTATGTACTTCTTTCCAAGGTTGCTTTGCACGTTTATATAATGAAAATATATTGTAGAAGGATAATAGAGTATATCGCTTACATCATTTTAAGCCAAATGGATCAGATTACTAAAATACATCGTCAAGGAAGCTACATTAGCAGCCGACTATTCAAGATTATACGTATGTACAAAGTTGTCATAGTTGTATGTATCTACCCATCGACATATTCCTTGCATAGATAGTTTGAAGAAATCAGAAATCTCACTATTCACCGATCTGAATGCTAAACACAAAAAATTTCTATCCTTGACCAGAAAGTAAGAAATGATGATATGGAAGGCCCGACGTGGCAGGTAAAAAAAAAAAAAAAACAATGAGCTTAGAAAAAGATAAGCAGAGATATGCCTTCACCAGTGATCAATCCCATGCGCCGGCTAATCCACACATGCCATGCGGTCCGGATTGTATCTAGATACCAAACAAAGCCAAACTGGGGGAAAAAAAATAGAAACAGAAACAGAAACAGAAACAAAACCAAAGGGTTCACAAAGTAGCTTCCGGATGCGTGGGGGAACTGGTGATCTCGACAGAGCGAGTCTCAAGTTCCTTTGGAAGGGTACCAGAATGATCACGAGACTCCTCACGAGACTCAATGATAGGCGCTGATTCGGGGTTCACCTCGGTGAAAGGCTGGTGGACCGACGGAGTGGCACTCGAGGAAGAGCCCTCTGTTTGTGGCTTGTTAGAGGTATCCTCAACGTGTTCCGCAGAGTCATCCACTTTCTCCTCATCTCCAATCACGGCAGCTAAACTGCGAAAATTGAACATTGGCTCAAGAGAGTTGGTGTTGCCCTCTCCAGTAGCGGGACCGCTTGCGCCATCCTCTGGGGTAGTTTCCATGACAGAAGAGAACGATGAAGAGGCACTGGAGACCTGTCGCAGGTGAGACTGTCGGGACGGCTCGGACTGATCCGCCGAATGGCTTGCTGGTGCTGCTGGATCAAGCAGCGTAGGGGGGTTCGTTTCTTCTGCAGTCGATGGCAGTGTGCGGTCAACTCCCTTGCCTTTGCTACCAGCTGCGATTTCTTCACCAATGACATCCTCGCCTATGACAGAGGATGAGCTACTCCCCTTACCTAAACTGGATTCGCCAAGGACATCCAAAGCGGAGGCGCTAGCATTATTACTGTACAAGCCAGTCTTGCGAGCCACCTTATCGGCCTTCTTGGCCTCTTTCTCCCTTCTCCTTCTCTCTCTTTTTGGCCTCTTTTCTTGCCTCTTTCTCCTCCCGTTTGAGGCGCTCGTCTTCGCTGGCCAAGCTCAGGCGGATAGCTTCCATCATCATCATTTCCTCAAGATCGTCAATTCGATTGCGCCTTGAACTTGATCGACCAGCAGCCGGGTTACTCGCACCCTCTTCGGCAGAAGCAGAATCGGTGTCTTGTCCAGTTGCTCTAGGCGTCCGATCAGCACCCGTACGCTCCGTCAAGAAAGCTAGCGCATTAAGGGCGGGTGAAGCGGTCCGGCCGCTATACCCTTCTCCACCAGTGGCTCTTCGCATTCCGCGCCGTCCGATACCAAACCCACGCGAGTCACTCTGAGATGTACTGGGGTTGATTAAATACGCCGCCGTGTGAAGGGCAGTCGCTGCCGCGGATCGACGTGCCGCGTGGGCTCGTGCATTCGATAATTTGGTCGCCCAGTCTGGTCGAATCCTATCGGTTGTAACCACTGTGGGGTCAGTGGCCGATAGTGAGGTCGCACGGCGGCGACCCGGCACGGGGGCAGTGGCAGATGATAAGGAGGAGGTGGAAGATACGGGGGAAGTGAAGTTAGGGGAGAGCCGGGCACTGGGGTCTGCAGCATAAGTCAGGCCCCGGCGGAACGAGGGCGGTGCATAGGTGACTCCGAACTCAGGCTGGACACAGAAGGGGCACGCCGAGGGCTCGGAGACCAACTGTGACTCGGTTGCCTCCGCCTGCTCTCCCTCGACCGAAGGCGCATTCGCGCTAGGCTCTCCATGCTCTGGAGTGTGCGGGTCCGGGCGCTTGATCTGCACGAAGCACTCGGAGCAAATAGGTTGATCGCAGCATCGGGTACGGTTTAAGTACGGCGGATAGTAGAGGAAACAGATAGGACATTCGCTTGCGTCTTTGTACAAATTCACTTCGATGGGCTGTCCATTCACAAATGGGTCCTTGGGAAGCTGCAGTTCCCGGGGCGTTAGATCTGTCTGTGAGTTATGCTTGGAGGTAGTCAAAGCAGCCAAAGTCTTCGCCCTGGTTCGGAAGAGAGGGGAGGTGGATGTCCCAGAAGCGATCGGAGATGCGGAGGGTAATGATTGAGGGGGGTTGGAGGACTGCGAAGCATCTGAATTATAAGATTGCGACCTGGACGTGATCGGCACTGTAAGATGCTGAATATTTGTTGGATCGACGGGGGCTTTGTCCGGGATCTTGGACAATTTGTACTCTAACTCGGGCGGGATCTCGTCGGGCTGGGGAATGGGCATCCCTCGTGCAGCCGCCATAATCTGATGCTCAGCCCACGACTCCGAGAAGTCATTGAGACCTCTCCAGAAGGGAGCCAGTCGGCGTTCGATCTAACCCTGCCGTCAGCCTTGGCTATTTCGCATCGAGGGGGTATTTCAGGCAAACCTACCATCAGTTGGCGCACCACTACCTTATTGTAGTCTTCTGTCCCCACATACACACCCTGTGTCACGAGATAACCTCCGTCGACATGCTCCTCCTTCATACTACGCTCCCTCTCTTTGAGACGCGCCACCCGTTCCTTCTCCAAGCGACGGGCCTCGCGTTCTTGCTTTGTCTCCCGCCGATGTTCTAATGTGGCCACCTCTCGATCATGATTGCTGATTCCAAGAATCGAAAGATCAGGCCGACTGCCTCTTGCTGATCGAGAACCATGATACGGCCGACTTGAGGCATCGGAAGCGCCCGGGGATAATTGACTCCGACGACTTGACGGGGCTGCGGAGCGCGACTCCTTGGTTTGGGAGTTTCCCATGTTGGAGTCCAGATAGATGTGAGGATGCGAGGATGTGAGGGGGAAAGATTAATTCACAGTCACGGTGATCCGAATCGGATATGGCGGAAAAGGCCCCCAAGGGGGAAGGAGGGGGAAGGGTTGTATTGGTGGACAGAAATGGGGTAGAGGAAAGGGTAAAGGAGAAGAGGTTAAGAGCAGAAAGTTGGAAGGCTAATAGTAGAGTGGAGGTAAGAGGAGTAACTCTCAGAGCGGGGGGGTTGTGATCTGTCCGGAGTAACTGGGGAAGTGAGATCGGTGAGGAACCCCCCAAGCACAATTTCCAAGTGTTTACAGAGTACAGATTCAAAAGATTCAATTCAATTCGAAAGAAAGAAAATATCGGATGTGGCGGATGTTATTTTTGTTTTATTTTTGGGGGGATTTAATATTTCATAAGTGGGCAAAGCATACTTGTTTATCTCATTTTAAAAGGTCTAGACTAATTGGTTATATAGTTATCGAGTTATACATGACTACCTAGGTCTTGATATAAACGCATGTAACTACCTAGATATAATATACTTTGTACATGTAGTTATTTACTAACTATTAACGTATAAACAGGTTACCTAGGTAAATAGCAAGCTTTTTACTACTCAACCCAGGATCATCAGTTGATCCTCGTCATCGTCAAGTCATGGGCAGATTACAAAGTACACTCCACACTCCACTTTTAAGATGTATACATCATACGCCTTAAGATGCTGCACTTTGCAGATCTAAAAGATTACCTAATTAACTATGTGAATTGGAAGGTGAAGTCATTGGGTACATGCATGGATATCCTTAGGGAATAGTCAGGCAGAAATAGCCAATCCAGGCCAATTCAGGCCAATTCAGGCCAACATACCAGGCCAACATGTGATCTTTAACCTCGGAACCATCTTAGCCAATGACCACACATACTTAAGAAGGCGGTGGCATAAAATCTGTCTGGACATTATTTTTTTGCCAAAAAAAAAAAGGTTGAAGAGCGGTGTTGAAGGTGTGGAATCTTTCCCCAATTTACCCTTGTAACCTTGACATCCTCCACAGGCCATGCATTAGTGATACCCCTACTCTTTCTCATCTACCAAGCATCCTCTGGCAATGACTGAAACAACCAGACTGCATATCACGCCTTTCACCCAGGAGATCCTTCCGTCTGTGCTGCCAGCATCTATTCGCAACTTGGCCACAGAAATATCTTTCCACGAGATTTCAACCTTCCCTGAAAATAATTACGGATACGTGACTCTGCCAAATATGGAAGCTGAGAAGATCAAGAAGAAGTTGAACGGCTCCATCCTCAAGGGCAAGAAGTTCAAAGTCGAGGCCGCCCGCCCTCAAAAGAGACATCGGGAGGAAGAGGATGTGGTGCCTGAAGCCCCCTCTAGCGCCAAGAAAAAGTCTAAGAAGTCCAAGAAGGAAACGCCCGAGGACGGTGTGGTGGAAGGCTTTGAGCTTCCCGCAGGCCGCAAAGTGAAACGAGGATGGACCGAGTCCAGTGATGCCAAGCAGGAAAGACGAAAGTCGGAGAAGAAAGAGAAGAAGAAGAGCAAGGAAGAGAAATTGCAATCCAAGTCCAAGTACACCGACAAATCCGAATGCCTGTTCCGAGCAACGATCCCACCCAATCGAGCATCTGACGCAACTTCCGACGATAAGAAAGCAAAGAAGAAGAAAAAGTCCAAGGATAATGTCATCCATGAATTTGAGAAGACGGTGACCCAGCCAAGCTTCCTGCGCACCGCGGAGGAAAGCGCAGCGCCTACGGCTACATTTGAAGATGGAAAAGGCTGGGTGGATTCCACCGGGAATCTGAGAGAACCTGCCAGCGAAAAGATCTCGAAGGATAATTATCGGCCTGGTCAGATTCCAGGAGCCAAGGAGAAGCGCCGAGCTGCCAAATTGGCTGCCAAAGAGACGAAAAAGCCTTCGCGCAAAGAAAAGACTCCAGAGGAATCATCCGAGTCTGAAGATTATACCTCGTCGAGTGGCTCATCTTCAGACGAGGGCAGTGACTCGGAGAGCGACGTGGATGAGAGCAAGGCCGATGAGAATCCTGAAGATTCATCTTCATCTTCTGACGACGAGGATGTCAAGCCGCACCAAGAAGAGACCGCCAAGTCTACGGAGGCTAACGACGGTGATGCTGATACACCGAACCAGCCGGACTCGGATGAGATACCCACAGAGGCTGCGCAAGAGGCAGAACAAAATTCATCTGCCAAGGAGGTCCACCCCCTTGAGGCTCTTTTCAAGCGGGCCGCCCCGACAGCATCCGATGACCAGCCAGCTCCCGAGGCCGAGGCTGGATTCAGCTTCTTTGGCAATGACATTGAATCCGAGGATGAGCCTCAAATGGCTGAACCGCAGACACCTTTCACACCCTTCACAAAGAACGACCTACAAAACCGAGGTCAGCGCAGTGCAGCTCCCACTCCCGACACTACTGCGGCGACCCGACACATGACGTGGAACGAGAGTGAGGACTCGGATGATGAGGACGCTTCGATTGACAGTCCTGTCACAAAAGCTCGAGCGCAAGCCGGCGTAAAAATGGAAGAAACCGAGTTCGCCAAGTGGTTCTGGGAGAATCGCGGTGACAACAATCGCGCTTGGAAGAAGAGGCGACGTGATGCTGCCAAGGAGCAGAGACAGAGAGACAACCGGAAGAAGGGAATTAAGGGAAAGTCATAGATTTGAAAAATCCGAGAGTTTTCTGGGAAGTTGAGTGATGTGTATCTAGACTCTGATGTGACTCTGATGTGGTACTGTATACATAGTAAGGCTGCCAGTGGCCCTTCAACAACAAATACTATGTAATTTAAGCCAAATTTCCTTTCCAAGTTGATCAAATATAAGCATAATATATAGATATATATGTTAACAAAAAAAAAACAAAAACAAAAACAAAAAAACTTATAGACACCTTTCTTCGCCCCAGGGCTGGTCTTTGTCGAATTGCGTACGCAGTCATGTGACCATCCATCGTCATTAAACTCGCGCCAACCCAGGACTTGTCGCATTGTCCACTGCGTGCCCAGGATGTCTTCTACCTGGTCCTCACAGCGCAGTATACAGCTGCTGCTGCTACTCTTTACATTTTTGTCTGTCACATCATTGGTAGCAGCATCCAGTAAGTGCTCGCCTCTCTTCTCCGACGCCCCAATGCGCCAAGTGGGAGATCCAATGGCTACCATCTTTGCGTCGATATTTATGTGATACTAATACTCAATGCCTACAGCACCAACTTCGTTCTGCAAATGCACCTGTTTCTCCAATAGTACGATCATCCCCCTCAATCCCGCCAAGTCTGAAACTTCCTCCGGCATCGACCACGTCCTCCGCTTTTACGAGCACGACTCTCTTAGCTCCGAGATTGAGCATACCGATGAATACATCAAACGAGCTCAGAAATACCGATCCCTGAGCTGTAATGATTGCAATCGCAAGTTCTGTCTCGATTACGAGCTACCGACCTGCAAAGGCGCCAAGGAGGAAGATGTATACACGACTTGCTTCCGTAAGTGATTTGCCGGACCCATGGACTAGGCGAGAGGAACCGAATTGGATGTGATAAGAGATGTGCTGACGGAGGGTTCTGCGATATTAGAGCGAGATTCACGGAAAGACGAGGCGGTAGTGTTTATTTTTATTTTTGCTACCGGTGGACTACTGGCTTGGGCTGCCTGCAAGCCATGGATTGAGCGATATGTCGAGGTAGGCCAATGCCTATTTGGTAGATCTTTTGTGGCAATGTACTAACTGATTTAGGCCGCACGAGAACGCAGGTCGTATATACCCGTTGCTGAACCCGATCGCTAAATAATGAATTTGAAATCATTTGCTGAAATATAAGCAAAGTGCCATAAAAAAAAGAAAGAAATAAAAAGATAATGATGAGAATTTGAGGTCGACATATGATGGATCCAGGAACCATCGGATCTCGATATGATATCAGTAGGAATGGATATCTATTAATGAGTTCAGGGGTAATAATCCAATCTCAACACAGCTTATCTCGTATAATCTACTATATAATTTGACTATAATCTACTAGTATAATCTAACTCGTATAACCAGAGCACGTTATATTACAAAATCGATAGATCTATTTTTTTTTCTTAGCGCTTTTTAGACCGATCCCCATCTCCACTATCTGAAACAGGGTAGATTGGAGGGATGGATGGATGGATGGATAGCCAATAGATTCGAGTAATTTGAGGTGGAATGTGGTTTAATAGGTTTTCATAGGTTTTCATAGGAGTATAGACCATATCATAATACCATAATGCACATTTGGATCGGCTAACAATTGGATGCTAATTATCGAGTGGATTCTTACACTTGACGATTATTTTTTTTTCTCTTAATTTTCCTATTCTTTCTCTCCTTAAATTACTTTGTCTCCCTTTAAAAGGCTTGATCTTGATCCATTTCATATATTCAAACTGGTGTGAGATAAATATACACATAATTGACCGAATATGGCAATCTTCGATTCCGAGAAGCGCCCTCGCGGCCTTCGTGTGCCTTCGCTCGCAGCACTGAAGTCTTCAGCAACGAAATCACAATTCTCTTTCCAAAAGAAATCCGACTTGCCATCGGATTTGCCGTCTGACTTGCCGTCCGATGAATCAACCTCGCCTAAACCGGCAGCCTTTCCTGCCCCTCCACCACCAAAGCCGGCCCCCCCCGCCGGACAAGGAACTACCAGTTCCCCCGAAAGTGGACATTCCAGCCTCATCCAACAACCCATACTTCCCTCCAATTCCCGGAAATGCAATCCCAGAACGACGCCCAGTGGAACGGGTCCCTGTCCCAACGCAGTCTCCCCCTCGGATGACAGGTATGCGAACCAAGAAATCACAGCCTGATTTCCACGCGCCTCAACAACAGCCAACCCCAGTGACATACTCCCCCCACCTCAAGTCCCGACCCTTGCTCAGGCCCCAGCTCCAGCTCCTGCCGATGAGCCCAACTCCCCCCTGCCAGAAGACTTCATCCCAACCCCCGACAGTGCCGAACCGCCACTAGCAGTCCCAGAACTGCCGCGCGAGGAACTGGCCCCCTCACCCTTCGTCCCTCCGGATGTTGAACCCGTGGCGCCGAAATTGAATGAGATCCATCTCACATGCTACCAGCAGCACCGCGCTATGCCCGTGGCGCAGAATACGTGGTGTCCAATGCCGTGTATGACCTGTCAGAAATTTGACATTGAGATCCGGCATCGCTGTGTGTTCTGCTGCTTGCGCATTTGCGAGTCGTGTTACCAGATCCTACAGAAATGTAAGAATCGTTCGGTCGAGGAGTTGGTTGATCAACTCGTATAATTTGTTGATATCCTTGTCATATCGAGTGCGTTGGTATAAATGACCTCGAGAGCATATATTGCATGATCCCAGCATATATTGCATACTCCCAGCATATATTGCATAATCTCCTGCGCAGGAAGTACAGGTCCTATCAAGGCTGTTATGTTTTCTTTTTCCTTTCCTTTCCTTTTTCTTTTTCTCTTTCTCTTCTTATCTACATACTTTTTTTTTATGATACCAAGGACCTCGTGTATATTATGGTTTAACAAGAAGGACTGAAGCTGCATGTTTATAATGAATACTTTTTTTGGGCATTCGTGACATAAATGTAACATTTTGTAGAGATACAAACCTTTTCGTAAGAGGTTGGGCTACGTGCTAGGTACGATACCAAAACCGTCAGCTCATTGTTATGTCAAGAGGGATCCCGTATGGTACAAACGGCTTGAATATATCAATCGTGATCCTCTTCGGTCAGGCCGGGACACCCTTCCAGCTCAAGATCGGTTTCGTAGGTATATTTGCACCAGAAGCAATACCGGTATGTCTCACGCAGAAAGAGGACCAGCTTGCGTAGCCGCTCAGCCGGCTCTAGCGCATTGAAGGCATCGAGCTCCTCGTCGTCTTCTTCTAACTCTATCTCCAATGTGGAGGTATTCTGATCCGGTTCACTGTCCAGTTCACGGCCAAGGGCCCTTTTATCCTCCCGGTCCATGGTCGGGTCATTGTATTCTGGTAGCCGTAGTTTGGGGAAGAAGGATGAAGGGAGTGAGGATTGGAGAGCATGGCGTGCCTGGCGGTCACTATCCTTCCGTTCGCGCTCACGGATAAGACCGCGGTAAAGGACATTGATTTGGGATGTGAGCTTGATCGGCTTCTTCTTTGTCGCGGGGGCATCGGGTCCGTCGCGTGCTTGACTAGGATCTGTGGAGTCACCTTCTTCTTCTTTGTTGACCTTGGCCGAGGGCCCTTGTTCTTTCTCTTTGTCGGTGGTAGCCCCACTCTCCGATTCCCCATCCAGCCTCTCTGCAACTTTCTGCGCCGCGTGCACCTGGGCTTCGATGCGTTTCAACTCGCGCTCTTCACGAACGCGATCTCGGTAACTTCCCTCTTCATGTTTAATTCTCTTCGCTGCTTCTTCTGCTTCCTCGCGGAGCTTGCGCTTTTTCTCCGTGTCCAACCCGATTCCGCCACGGTTTTCTTTCAAGGTTAGGTTTAGCGGTTCAGCGCGTGATTTTAGGAAATCGGGAGTGTTGGTAGTGTCAGAGTCATTGGCACCAGGTTTGCCCAGTACCCCACCAGGCTTGAACCCAAGCTTTGCCATCATTTGGAATCCTTTGTTGGTGGGGTTGAGGGTGCTTGTGGCCAAGGCTTCCTCTCGGCGGGCGGCTTCCCGAGCGGCGCGTTCGGCTTTGGATGGGACTCGGCCTCGGGCTTCGGCCTGCATATGGAAAAGAATGTTAGAATTGATTTGGTATTTAGCCGAAGACAGAGATGGGCGTTGAGGTTAGAATGTGGAGGATACGGTACCTCTCGTAGTTCGCGGCGCTTTTTTTGGGTGAAGGTCTCCTTTTGAGTGGGTTCCTCAATGACCATATTCATATAGTCATCTTCATCTTCTGAAGCCATCATGCCAAGAGTTAAAGTATGGTCTAAAAGTCCTAAAGCCCCAAATAAGTGAAAAAGGGAGAAGGACCGGGAGATGGCAGATCCGCAGGCGGAAAGAAAACGCTTTGGGTTTTGCGGGGGAGTGGGGCTTTCCAAATTAATTTTGGGGCTCTTCGATGTACTTTGGGCACATTTAATCCATTTAGTTCATATTTAGTCCCTATTTAGTCCATTTGGACACTTGTACATTACCATTATATGCGCTATTTTAAATTTGGTATAAACTAGATTCCATTTAAAATCATTTTTGATCTATCTCATTGGGGAACAAATGTGGAAGATCAAACAAAAACAACCTACATGGTGTGACATAAACAAAGAAGCTATCTAGAGTATCGAGGTATCTATTAGGACAACTTCCCCTAGAGCATATATCCCTTCTTTGTTTAGACCCTTAGATTGAATGGTTTCAGGTGTCTTTCAATGTCTCACAGTCCCTTTTCCCCTAAAAGTATGTGGCGTAGAGTGTATCTGACTAGATAGTTGCTTTGGTAGCAAAATAACTCATAAGAACGCCTAAATCATGGACTTTTGTGTCTATCATCTACTTCTGGGACCGACTAGTCTGCTGACGGGTAGAAAAACCTATGCATTGTGTCTTTTATGGACGCTCTTCTTCTCCGAAAAGCTCCATTGCTGCACATGTGACACATCCCCGCAAGCGTCGAAGTATGCATATCTCAATAAAGCAACAGTGGCGCAAGGGCTTTGTCCCCGTATTATCTTCCGATAGCCGAGTGCTATGCGTTGTCACCGTGACTTCGATCGACAAGGGTCGGCTTTTCTTTTGTGTCCGCGGAGCACTTTATAAACCATGGCATCCACCGGTTCACAATCAGACTGCCAGACACCATGACTAAGTTCTTTGCTATCTGCACTTTGCTATCCCTAGCATCAGCTTCTACAGTGGTAGATTTGGGCTATGCTAAGTATGAGGGTTATGCATACTCCGGAGTCACACAGTGGCTTGGTATGCGGTTTGCCGCTCCTCCTGTAGGAGATCTGCGATTTGCTGCCCCGCAGGATCCCTTGTCGGTCGAGGGAATACAGCAAGCAACCAAGGTATGCACCTCTTGTGTGTTCAGTTCTTCCTAGATAGATAGCTACTGACCATTCACTACTAGCATGGAAGCATATGTATCCCCACGGCAGCAAGTGAAGGCCAGGCAGTCCCACTAGGAACCTCAGAGGACTGTCTCTTCCTTGATATATATGCCCCCACAGCTGCAGTAGAAGGTTCCAAGAAACTGCCTGTCTTCTTTTGGATCCAAGGAGGAGGGTTTGCAGTCAATTCAAATGCCAACTATAACGGCACTGGGTTGATCGAGGCATCTGGAAACAATATGGTGGTGGTCACTTTCAACTACCGGGTTGGACCCTATGGATTTCTTGCCGGAGAAGAGGTTGAACAAGGAGCCAGTCTAAACAATGGCCTGAAAGACCAACGCAAGGCACTCAAGTGGGTCCAGAAGCATATCAGCAAGGTAGGTCAAGCTGTCATTCTTCCTTCTTCCCGTGTGACTTTGTTGTTTGATATCAGGGTTCTGACATTGTCTCTAGTTTGGAGGAGACCCCCAACATGTTGTCATTGGTGGTGGTAGTGCAGGTGCTGCCTCGGTGACTCTCATGCTCTCGGCGTATGGCGGAAGAGATGAAGGCCTGTTTATTGGAGCTGCTGCAGAGTCACAAAGCTTTGCCCAGATGCTCAATGTTACCGAAAGTCAATTTGCGTATGACGCCCTGGTAACTGCGACGGCATGTGACAGTAGTCAAAACACCCTGGCATGCCTGCGTAACCTCGATGTCAGTGCTTTGCAGGCGAAGAACGTCGAAAGACCCAACCCAGGAGCACAAGGGAAGCCGTTATACCTGTACGGTCCCACAATCGACGAGGACCTAGTGCCAGACTACACGTATCGCCTCTTCCATGAAGGCAAATTCATCAAGGTGCCAGTGATATTTGGCGATGACACCAATGAAGGCACGAGATTCGTTACCAAGAGCATCTCCAGCGTCGACGAGGCAGATACGTTCATCCAGAACCAATTCCCAGCAATAACACAGACCCATCTTGCCAGGATCAACAGTATATATCTTACTCCAAACCAGACGAAGGAATTCCCTGGCGCTGGGCCCTACTGGCGGCCGGCAAGCACGGCGTACGGCGAGATTCGCTACATCTGTCCCGGAATTGACATCTCTTCCATTTACGCCGCCGCAGGTGTCCCAAGCTGGAACTACCACTACGCAGTTCAGGACCCCGACGACGAGTACTCGGGATTGGGCACACCGCATACCATCGAAGTGAACGCGATCTGGGGTCCGGCCAATACTGGGCACAAAGTTCCAGCTTCGTACTACACCACCAACGCAGGTATCATGCCTGTGATGCAGGGTTACTGGTCAAGCTTCATTACGTCTCTGGATCCAAACACCAAACGTCTTCCTTCGAGCCCCAAATGGGAGACTTGGGGTCAAGGTGGTGATGGATATCAGCGAATCTTCATTCGAACCAATGAGACTAGAATGGAGACAGTGCCACAGGGACAGAGAAACCGATGTAAATATTTGACCAGCATTGGTCTTGATCTGAAGCAGTAGCATATAGTATATATACCCCTTGGAAGGAATTGAAACTGTGAATAACCTTGAACAAGTCAATTCTTTACGAAAAGAAAAAAAAGGACTAGCGAATTTTGTAGATATTGTGGATCTCGATGAACTTGACTTTTATTCCCAGCCTTACGCCAGATGAACAATGATGTATATACCAGCCCAACAGGATGCACAACCAAGTGTGATATATAAAGGGAAAAAAAAGAACAGACGTGAAACAGGAAGTTGAAATGTAAATTGCAAAAAGCAAGATTACCGCCTGCCACGTGCCCGCTCGTACTCGTTGGCGGCACGGCCCTCCTGGCTTTGAATCTCCGCAACAAGACGCTTGTACTTCTTCTCGTACTCGGAGTCGCGCTCCTTCTTCTCGCGCAGCTGCTCGCGAGCAACGAAGCTGGCGTCCTTGCGGAGCTCGCGCATGGCGCCCTTGCGCTCGCGCTTCAACTCCTTCTTGAGACGGTTGGACTCGGCACGCTCGCGGTCGGGATCGTAGTGCTTGTCTGGGTTGAAGTTCTCCTCGAACTTCGGAATGGCTGTCTTGATGGCCAGGGGTTTGTGGTTGTGGAGGAACAGCGGGCGACGAACGAGACGAGCCTGTGCGAGATGGGCATCGATCTTATCTAGGGTGCTCTGGATGGGCTCCTGGGCTGCCGCGTAGACCTTGCCCTTGAGGGATTGGCGGATGTACTGCAGAACTGCACGGACCGGTGTGAAGATCTCGGTGAAAGCAGATT